CATTATACCTCCTAGTAAGCACAGCAGGTTCAAGCGCCTCTCCGATCGACGGAATTCTTGTGTTCACGTCGCGCGTTCGACGCCGCGAAAATATTATTCTGCAGGCTGGAGAACGCCTGAGGCATATGCAAATTTTGCAAATTTTGACAAATAAAAAATGCAATTTTTTTATACTAATCCAGACTAATGGTTCTAAAAGGATTCGCGAAATTATCTCGTGATGCGCTGCATCAAATTGCTGCATACCTATACTACTTAAAATTTATTACGATAAAAATTAGCTTATTTATATTTTCATTCGCAGTGTTAATCTGCATACTTGTATATCCCGAATTTTTCATTCTGATTACACCGGTAATTAATGTACAATTAATTTTCAGTACTTTTGATATCGACATAAAGACGTGTAAACAATTCAAAAATTAATATAAACGAGAAAAATTTTTAAAACGTAAGTAAAGATTGAAATGCAATAGAATGTTTACAATGCTACGCATTTTTTATAGATACATCTTGAAATATACCCTCCCTTATTTTCGTAATTATACAATGGTACTTTATTTCGAATGCATTTCATGGCGCCAGAAAGTGAATACCCAACAAGTCACCTTCAGCGTAACTATATGACGCCGTCTAATAAAGCCTTATCAAAATAAAGCACTCCAATATGTATCTCGTTAATTTATGCTATGTTGATAGCAAGGAAACAACAATGTAATCATTGTACACGTACGTACATACGCAAATAGCTATCAAACTTAAGCGCAAATTACTGTTTGTCGTTAAAATACTAAATATTCCAATTAGAAATCGCGTATGTATTTTGTGACATTTCGACGCGTCAAGATATTACGTAATATTATTACGAAATTAGCACATATCCTATATATAGCTATTTCTGAAAACATCGTAATGTCTTAAACATTTTAAATAACAATTTTTAAATCTCGCTTTTTGTACTGTGATATTGACATATTTCGGAGAAAAACAAATTTTTCTATAAGTAGTTAATGAAAAATAATTAAATATAAGTGATTCAATATAACGTTATTATATTTCATAAATGAATAACAATTTAAAGATTTAAATCTATAAACATCTGATAATTAGATGAGATATAATATACAGGATGTCCCAGAACTGGCGGAAAAGTTTTTAATGGCAGATTCCTGGTATCATTTGGAGACAATTTTTCCTTAGTGAAAATGTTGAGGGAGGTCATAATTTTTAGCATGTTCCTAATTTTTGGTATTATGTATTTTTATAACTAATTGTAAGCCTTATATTAAAATTCTATTAAAGCGAAATCTACCTAAAATAAACTGAAGAATGTAGTTCTGTTAATATTTTATTTCCACAACGCTTAGTTTTCAAAAAAGCCTTTATTTTTAACTGCTCATAATTTGAAGATTATTGCTGTCTCGACATTTGCGCTGAGGAAAAATCGTCTCCGAATGATACCAGGAATCTGCGATTAAAAACTTTTCCGCCAGTTCTGAGAAATCCTGTATAATTTTATGTAAATTTATATCAATTATTTATGCATCTCTTTTCATGCGTTCGCATAATTATATAATATTAAATTTATTGATAATTTCGTTATACTATTCCTAACAAATATATATATAAGCACAATATTCAAAACTATCTGTAATCAACATTTAAAACTGTTTGCATTTATTTAAACTGAGCTGAAAAATATTGACAAAGTTTGTTAACATATACTCTTCTTATAAAAGTTAATTTAAACTTGATTTTGATAAACAACAGAAGATAATATATAATTATTCAATTGATTAATGGAATATAATCGATCATACAAATCTATTTATTGTCACGTCGCGTCGTTGCGATAAATTATCTTGAAATTTTGTCCTCAGAACTCGTCAATAAAAATTGCTTACACTTTAGCAATAACTTATTTACTTTTTTTATCGATGATAGCATCCAACATGTGCAAAAAGATTTCGTATATTTAAAGGAAACGCAAATATATATTCGCAAAAACTCATCATCAAAACGACAACCTAGCTTATATTTACCATGAATTATTAATGAATCAACAACGATATTTGCATATAGGAAAAAAATTGTATAAACCAGATAATCAACAAGCAACACCACAAGATCTGGCACGTTCGCGATTAGATCCGCGATTACTTTATATTTCATATGCATATTGAACGTATTGACACATTAAATGATTCACAAAATCGAAATGGAAGTATTAGTCACACGATTACTCATACTGATTTTTTTACACTTATAAAATGTAGGCTGCGAATCGAAATATCGATTAATTATTATGTGTGACATTTGTGTCTATCTTATCTGTTCGTCATATTTCAGACCGATCGACTGGAACGTTGTCACATGGCCGGCGACAATCGTCACAATTATCATCTCGTTAGTATACAGTAGCCAAGGACATATGAGTCTCAAAACGTATGCTTAATTGAAGTAGGGCTGACACAACAAATGCGCTGGCATACGAAATTCAAAGGAGTGTCAAGCTCGCATCGCGCATCATTATACAGGGTGTCCGGTAACTAACGGACCAATGATGAAGGGCGGATTCTCTGGCCAATTTGGAGACGATTTTTCCTTAGCAAAAATGTTGAGAAGTCAATAATTTTCGAGTTATAAGCGATTGAAAAAAATGGATTTTTTGAAAACTAAACGTTTTGGAGTTAAAAGTCTAACATAATTACATTCTTCAGTTAATTTCAGGTAGAGTTTTACTATAATAAAATTTTAATTTGAGGCTTAGTTATAATGATACATAATGACAAATATTGGAAAGTTGTAAAAAATTATGATCTTTTTCGACATTTTCGCTGAGGAAAAATCGTTCCCAAATTAACCAAAGAATCCATTTGTAATCGTTGGTCCGTTAGTTACCGGGCACCCTGTATAGCCATTTAAATCAGCAACGAAGCGTGTGTATGTGTAAAATCATCATCTAAAGGCTATAGACGCATACTACGATCACGATCGAACTTTGATAGCTCATTCGAGACCGATGGTCACTTCTCGCGGGATTCGTAGTACACGTCATTTCCACTTTCGCTTCGAGTTAATTGGTAGCGGTTATTAGTTTCAGCGTAGCCGCCTAAGGACAATATACATTCGTCGATTTGCTCGTTATCAAAGTGTTATGTTTAATCATTCAGTGATAATGGTAATTAAAATCGTTCGGTTGTTTTAAAGTACGAAGAAATAAATGCAAAGATGCGGATAGTGTAATTAAAAGTAATTAAAAGTATAGAAGAAACTCTTTGTGTGTGATTTCCGAATTAAAATTAATTTAAACACCTTTCCAAAAATTACCTAGTAATAAAAGAAAAAATGAAAAAGTGCGTATTTGCGTTACTTGGTTACGTGATATTTTCGAAGAAGTGTTATCGCGTAAATATTTTGTGCACGATTATCTCAACGATATCAAAATTTAGCTTGTAACAATGATATAATATGTTTAGAATAATGTGCAGTGCAATTAAGTTTTCGTATCATAATCATATATCGTAGTATATAAAGTTGTCGCATTTATTTATACGCGTCGCGACACTTGCTGTGATGAAAACACGTGATGACAAAATGAACTTAAATATAGATAGCACATATCGCAAATATATTTTTGAAATCAGCAAAATTAAGCTGAAGTATATCTTAGATAACTTATAAACTCCCTGTAAACTTTGCATATGTATACCTTCAAGGCAATTGATTCTCAAGCTGGTCTAATTAATAACGAGCTTAACTAGCTTCATAAAATCATTTTTATTATGTGTATCAGTGATGTTATATTATAATAAATAGTTTTTAAATAATAATTGTTAATTTTAATTTACAAACTTTTCTAGGGAAATAATTTTAGTCATGATTATATATACTTATTTCTACACATTCTTTCGCGTTTTCGCAATAATTCAATTCGTTCCCGTAAATTGATATTTAACTCTTCATACAGTATTCAACGCACGGCCTTCTCTCTAAATGACAAAATAATTTCGTAATATCGCAAAAATATAATTCTTTTCTTTCTTCTTTATCTTATAAATTTCAACACCACAGCTATTACATCTTGTTGCAATCTCAACTTAAGAAGCGGATCGTTTATCGAAGTGAAATGTCAGCAGTGCTGATATATCAAAGAAACATCAGGTTAATATACGTCATATTTTTACGGTCCGATAATTACGCACTCGTATGATTATTTGTATATTAAAAATAATTACTATCATTGACCAATATTATCTCAAAATCCGATAGGTATAATAAATAATGGTACTATGTAAACGATAAGAAATTAGATTTATCATTGAAAAGTATTTTCCTATTTTTTATATAACTTATCTATTTAAATTGTTATTAAAAAGATATGATTCTCTCTCAAAACTAAATTTAAATGATATGTCATGAAAATATAATAGTTATAAAATTTCGCATTTTTATAACCAATGCTGATAATAAGTAATATTTTCTAAATAATTGCAATTATATATATATATATATATATATATATACAATATAGTGTATAAATATTAATATTTTCAAAATTATATTACACATATATTAATTTTTATTTGAAATCTATGCAAATTGCTTTTAAATTACATATCCCAATAAAATTTAAAATCTCGTCAAAACACAGTCACAATTTTAAATCTGTGTAATAATTAATAACTGTTTTTTTATAATAATTGATAATTAATAATTATCTTTTATCTTGATTATCTCATTTTGCATGAAAAATTATTAAGTGACATATACAAAATACTTTTTTAAAATTTTATTATATTCGATATCTTTAAAACGAATAAATTATAAAGTAATCATCATATTCTTGAGTTATACCATTAAATATCGATTAAAATTTTCTTGTCATTTCATATATTATAAACTCTGCACATTAAAAAAAAAAGTAATATAATTATTAGAAAATATTCATGTATGCTTATATAATTGACACTATTACTATTCCAAAGCATAACATTGTCGGAGGAATGTCGCGTGATATTTTTTTTCTATAATTAATCTAGTCTAAAAGATTACATTATTCCAACATAATTTACTGAACTACCAATAATAATCAGAATCATAAGCAAATCACCATGACCGCGAGGTCGCACGCGTCTATAATTTTTCTTATTTTGTCATCACAGACTACAGTGCTCACAATCATGGTCGCCGATAACTGATAACGCGTCGTTTTCTTGCGCTAAATTTCTTTCCTGTCACGTTTAGCAGAGTGGAATTTGCCGATCCAAAGAAATCAACAGAAGAGAATCACTCGCTTGCGAATAACGACGCCAGTGACAGTGTCGTGCGCAAGGGTGGCCGCAAATTTCATTAAGTACTAGACGTCTCTTCGTCGTCTACGAGAAATCGTCCAATCTCTTAGCATCAGATTGCGATTGGCAGTTCGTTCTCCAGTCTAATAGTGGCAGTTAGTGTTCGTGCAACCATTCTCTCACATTCGCGATCAGAACCAATACATTAGCGGATTCATCGATCATCAAGCCATCTCTTTGCCATTCGTCGTGATCGAGTGCACGTTACTCATATTGTACACCGCATTTATACTGCAATTACGTCCAAAATTGAGGTATCATTCTTTTATGTTGACATTGCACTTCGCATCCTCTAAATTAAAAGCTTAATCAGATTTGTATCGCAGAAAATTGCAAACAAACGCGATGTTCAGTAATAGACTATAAATTATTGAAATTTTGTATGTTTTTCATCAATTTATAATAATCTCTATTTTTATAAGTGTATTAATAATATATACACAAAAATATACTTTTTTGTGAAATTATTGAAAAATTGTATTTCTCTATTGCGAAGAAATAATTTTTGAGATACCAGTGTGCAAGTTTTTTAACAGATTCAACAATTTAAAGTATTAGTATTATTATTTCTAGCAAAAGTATTATTACTTTTAATTCAAGTAGATTGAAAATAGCATTCACATTAATGCAAATGTTTTTTTTAGAATGAACATACGTAGCACGTAACTCGAGGACAATTATCAGTGATCCAGACGCGCTGTGATACGACAGGATAAATTTCTCGATTTGAACAAACGGCCGAGATGGCGAACGTGGACAGAGATCTCGAGGAGCTCATGTCCCATCTGGGTGAATTTGGCAAATATCAATTCCGACAATACTGCTTTCACATGCTCGCCGCGTTTACATCCGGGGTGCACATGTTGAGTCTGCTGACAGTCGCAGCGGTGCCGCCGCATCAGTGCAACGTCCCTGAGATGAACCTGTCATCTTCCATAACCGAGACGTATAACTTGACCTTTAGCGATTGGAGTGTTTCAGAGCATCTTCCGCGTCCCCTCGACAGCTGTCACTATCTGGATCCCGACAACGTAACCCGGGAATGTGACTCCTGGACCTACGACACGACGTACATCCACTCGTCGCGCGGCATGGAATGGGATTTCGTGTGCTCACGACGTTGGATGGGCGCTGTAGCGCAAGCCTCTTACATGTTTGGCGTGTTTGTGGGTGCGGCTACTCTGGGCACTATGGCAGACAAGTACGGCCGGAAGATTATATTCTACGTATCTGTGGTGGCGCAGTTGGTGTTCGGGGTATCGGTGGCTCTTATAAACAATTATTACATCTTTCTGATGATCCGCTTCTTGTACGGCATCTTCGGCTCAGCCGGTGCTTACATCACCGCGTTCGTATTGACGATGGAGCTGGTGGGTCCGTCCAAGAGAACCGTCTGCGGCGTGTTGATCCAATTAACTTTCGCTACGGGCTTCATGGCGGTGGCCATGTGGGGCTCCATGATCCCGGATCGCACGTGGCTGCAGATCCTATACGGCATGCACAGCACGCTTCTACTCGGCCACTGGTGGCTGATGGACGAGTCGCCCAGATGGTTGTGGTCGCACGGTCGCGTCGCTGAAGCGATCGTCATCGTGCAGAGAGGTTTAAAAATCAACGGCAGCGACGTGCAAGTGGACGCGGCCAAGCTTATCAGCAAGTCACAGGTGCAACGCGAGATCAAGGAGGAGAAATCGGAAGGCGCGCTGGATCTCTTCAGGACGCCGAATCTCCGCAAAAAGACCCTCAATGTTTGCTTCAACTGGTTCGCTAACTCGATCGCCTATTACGGACTGACCCTAAACACCGGCAATCTCGTGAGCAATCCGTACCTCACGCTGTTTCTCAGCGCCGTGATGGAGCTGCCCGCGGCCATCCTTGTGATATTCACCCTGGACCGAACCGGCAGGAGGTTCCTCGTCAGCGCGTGCATGATGATCGGCGGTGTATGCTGCATCTGCGCCGCCGGGATGACCGGGCTGACCAGCGAATTGGCGAACACCGTCAGAATCGCTATAGTGTTATTTGGCAAGTGCTGCGTAGCCGGCTCCTTCGCCGTCATATACAATTACACGGCCGAGCTATTTCCGACGGTGGTGAGAAACACTGCGGTCGGCATTGGCTCCATGTGCGCTCGTCTCAGTAGCACCCTTACGCCAATGATCTTTCTGCTGGACTCGCTGGACCCGCGAGTGCCGACCGCGCTCTTCGGCTTCGTCGTTCTTACGGCGGGTTATCTGGCCCTCTACCTGCCGGAAACGCGGAACCAGCCGATGCCGGAGACCATCGAGGACGGCGAGAACTTCGGCAAGGGCGACACCTGCTTCACCACCTGCATGGGCGGTGGGGTGGAAACTACCCCCGAGGACGACTACGACATCACGATGGAACGGGTGGACGAGAGAGACGAGAAGGACCAGTTGAATAATATATAAAATACGTTTTGCCGTATACGAAATTTACAAGGTGCCTTCGACCAGTACTTATAACTATATGTCGCGGAGCGAAAAAGGAACGTATTTTATAGCCTGGCGACGCAACGCGAAACTACTAAGCTGGTATCAGAGATATATCAATTAGAGATACTTATTCGATTCAGCTTTAATATGCAGTTATCAATGAAAAGAAATGATTTAGAAACAATTTATATATTATATGTAAAAAGTTATTTTCTAAAAAATTGTATCTATCATATTATATATATTAATGTAATATTAATAATATCCCTAATAGCACACTATATCCAAAAGACATTCTGAGGATATCCTGAGAGTATCCAGAGGACATTCGAACATCCTCAGGATGTTCTCCGAACGTCTTCGGGATATGTGTACTGTTAGAGATTTTATACTCTATTTTTTTTTTTTTTTTTTTTTTTTTTTTTTTAAGAAGTGTTAAAATATTTCAAAAAAATTAATAACAATATAAATTTTATACATGTATATTATACTATAAAGAAAAGAGATATAATATTTTATAGACAAAGAATACACATGAGAATAATTTTCATTTTGTTAATTAGATATAGTATCACATAATATCGTACATTTCTATATACATAAGCGCTTGATAATCATTAATCAAAAAATTCTAATTTCATGGATGAGCAATCTCACCCCAAGAAGTAGAAGTGATTAAAAGTTTAAGCGTCACTGTTTTCCTGCTCTAGTATAAAATCCATCGCCCTAAAATCCTTATGAATAATCCGGGAGAATCAACGAGGAAATAAATTCGTTTACATCCGACTTATCTCGTTACTTCCGGTGAGATAAATTGGCCAAGAGAAGTTCAAGAATTGTGCGAGATAAAATGAGAAACGTGCGAACCCCTTAAAATCGCACATATGATCTTAATGGTGAGGATGGCAATTTCGAAAAGATGTTCCCTCGAAAAGATCCGAGAGATCCACGGTGAAACCGCCAATTCGCTCCTCTCCCTAGCTAATGGAAAAACTTTGTCGCCTAGTTCAACGCTTTTCCAATCATAAAGTTTGAAAAATGGTCGCGTCAGTTATCCATGGATTTTTTTCGCCGTTAAATTAACGATGGCAGAGAGAGAGAGAGAGAGAGAGAGATCTTATCTCGAAAAAGTTTTATTAAATTTTTCCCAAACAATCTAAATTATTACGAAAAAATTGCGAGATATAATCCTCATTATTTTATAATTATACAATCTTGCCGTAATATATTGTAAATTTTATATATTTTATAATAATTATTTATTTAGATAACAATTTCAAATATTTTTATATTGCTTGTATTTAATTTAAATACGTTTTAAAATAAAATTAATAAAGATTAAATCGATTGAGATAAAAATTCTATGCTAATAAACTTTTCAATTGTTTATCGAGTTATCAAAAATCAAATTGAATTAATAAGAGACGCGAATTAATTATAATTTTAGTTTTGATTTATGTTATTGGAATATCGAATATTAAAGAATTATAAAAATTAAATTAATTATATTTAATTGTAATTATTTTATCAAACAAAAAATGATAGAGAGTTATTCTATTAATTAAATTCTATACCTCAAAAAGATTACCGTGCAACATGCGGTTGAATGCTGAATACTATATAAAGTGTAATGTATTTATTGCAGAAGTTTCTGATTATCAATGTTACGCGATTTTTTGCGCTTCATAAAAACTAATGGTATATTTTTGCAGGTAATTTACTATACGGAAGAGTATTCTTTATATAATTAAACGTTATATAATTTATGTAGATTTTGGCGGCTGACAATTGCAAACATGTACCTTCTCGTTCATCGACAATGAAAAAATAATCATCAAACGCAACAGCGCAATATTAATGCATTTCTTTTTTTTAACGATAATTTAAATTGAACATTTAACACGTGAAATTGATCGTCAATGATTTTCTTAGGATTCGCGAAATGCTACAAGATTAACTTTTAATTAATAACTTGAAATTCCATACGTGCGTATAAAATCACCCCCCAGCATAGCGAAAAATTAAATATACTTTAGCTCTAAAATAATACTAAACTTTGACGATTAAATGTAAAAGTGTTAAGTCGCAGATGAATAATTTACAAGTATATTATCAATTATTTGCTGAACAGAGCGCACGCGTGAGTCTTGCTTTTCTTGGGTACAGAAATGGTTAATTTGAATTTCAGTGAAATGAAAGAACAACGCAGATATAAAATTAGCATTGCTTAATATTTTTTTAATTTTAACAAAGAATAATAATAATTAATAGAACGAATTATATTCAACTCTAGAATATATCTAGATACAGAGTGTATACTCAAACCTTATAAATAAATTCCATGATTTTCCAGGTACTTTTGTTCAAAATTTCTACTAGTAAAATTATAGAATTAAAAAAATTTCTAATACAATTTTAAGTTTGTTTCTGTTATACATAATTTTTTAACATAAATAAAGTATTTTTTAATATAATAATATAATATTATATTTTATAACAATATATTTTGATACACTTTATATAAACCTAATAAATTTTATATTCTTTAAAGGTATATTTGAAAATAAAATTAAAAGGGCAATTTTTTAAAAAATTCTCTGAGTTCAAAATAAATTCCATGCGTGAGTATTCCAGGATTTTTCAAGGTAGAAAAATATTCCCTGAAAATTTCAGGTTTTCTAGGTTTTTTCCAAAGAGTATACATCCTGCTAAAGTGCATCTAGATATTATTATTAAATATCTAGAGAAAAAAAATCGAAAGAAATTTTTTTCAGAGAAAATATCGCAAAAATGCGAACGGACGTTCTCCAAGAGCAGAGCAACTCCTTATAATTGCGTGCCTCGTACAGCTTGTATATATGTAAATCCGGCCCTGATGAATCGTACACTCACCTGCGTTATCGAACGCGCACAGGTCCATGCGTAGGGATGCTGGAGGCGAGAGATACCGGAGCACACAGTGGTAAGGAGCGCGCGTCGCCGACTGAACTCCCGCTCTGTGCTCGCACATTAAATCGCGGGAAGCGTTGCATCAGCGCGCGCAACTCTGTCAAACATGGTGCTGCGGCCGCTGCCGCAAATTTCATCTTCCGGAGAATTGGATTGCAAAAGTGCCATCTCGTACGACGCCAAGATTTCGCGTCCGATTTTTAGATGAAAGGCGAAGAAATATATGAGGACGAGAAAGATAGAGAGAGAGAGAGAGAGAGAGAGAGAGAAAGAGAGAGGTTCGTACGATCAATAAAGATCGAACAACTTTGCAACTATTAATTCGAGTTAACTAAAGTCAATTATTTTCTCATCTCCTGCAAATTAATTCGACATTCATCCAGTATAATTCCGGAAAACGATGAATAGTTATGATTTGACTATAGATCTTTTTAGTGTATTCGATTATTTATCTTCTTGATATTTTCATAGAACTCTTTAAATAATAAAAAATTATATTAGTATTATATATCACAGATTATATAATCCAAAATTATTTATAACATTAAGATATTAATCGTTATTTAGTTAGTTTAAATTATTTTAATTATTAAATATCGAATAAATAGCTTCTTGAAAAATTTCGAAACAATATAATCCATATCTTTTTCAATTTAAATACACTCTTCTCGCTGATGCAATAAAAAAGAGATGAATTTCAATTTTCATTTCCTAAGCAAGCTCCGGAGTACAAAAGTGTCATCTTTCCACTTCGATAGATGAAAACTTTTTATTGCGCTTTCATATCTCTTCGACAATTGACGAAGCTCTTAGTTCGAGTCGATTAAAAACAAGTTCACAATCGTTTTTATATTTTATGCGTACAAAGCGGCGGATTTCATTGACACCTTCGTTTTTATATTCTAAATAGAAAATTGGACAATCAAAACTGGTAGTTATTCTGGTTGAAACAGATATATATATATATATATATATATATATATATAAAATTAATTAACAAATTAATAAGTTAACTTTATATATATATATATATATATATATATATATATATCAATATAACATTAAATTTTACTAATGTATCGTAATCATCGTAATGGTCGTAATTATTAAATCAGTTTAATATTTGAAACTATCAAATTATATAACCTTTTTTCGTTTTATTTTTATTTAATTCTGTAGTATTTAATTAATCTTTTTCGTGTACATAATAATAATATGGAATTATATTATTTTTTACATTTATTCATTGTCTTGCATATTGATAAATTTTCCAACGAAAAGATAGACATTTTAATGATCGCTGCTAGACTTTAATTAAATTGAGTCCATCTTTGAACACACCATAAAACAGTTGGACATGTCCTAATTGCGAATTCCCGGTGACTCGTTTATAATCAGCGGGGATACAGCACATTGCGCCATGCAAATTATTTTAATTAGTAAGTCAGCATACGAATTTTACTTGCCAATATAAAATTTCAGATATCAAATAAATAAAAGTCAGACAATATTGATTAAAAGTAATTTTTTGTTAGAAATATTTTGAGAAATTTTAATATTTTCGTTTCTTTTTAAATTATACATTTTTTAAAATTCGATAATACTTTGTGCACACAATTGGAATTGTATTTTTTCTAGAAAAAGATAATACGCTAATTAAATCTTTATTAAAAATTTAAACATTAAATTTTAATTCTGCTATAATACAATAAAGATAATTTCCATTTTTATAATTTCATAAAAATAATTATATAAAATTCGAAAAATATGAAAAATATCGATTTAATCATATATTCCATTGCGTAATATTTGCATCCACAATCTATAAAATAAATTTAGTGCATTATGTCTGACTGTTTATTAATTATAAAAATGTACGGACGCTAAACTGATGAAAATCATGACACAGCATTATGCATAACATCTCTTTAAAAATAATATCTATGTATATAATGCTTGGCAAAATATGCAAAAAAATGCGTATGCGACTCACATTTTCTTTTTTCATACCGAGTAATTAATAAATTTTTTATACAATTTTCATGGTTATTTCATATATTCACATATAACTTTTTGTCGTTTTCATAAATAAAAGAAAAGGAAATATACAAGTGTACATGCAATTCTTGTAATATGCAATTTTCATTAATTTATTTCAAAACATTGATAAAATATATATATATTATATATATTTTATGTTATATTATATAATATGCATATATTTTTATCTACAAGTTGTCCCGGAGATCTCGACTGTAATATTAACAAAATTTATTGAATGTAAAAACATTATAGAAGTAAAAAAAATTAATTTGTCTTTCAAAAAGATTTTTAATTTACTTGCTTCTGATATTCAATTTAATAAGCATGGCAAAAATATATGAGTTTAAATAAATTAATATATATTTTTTTAAAATAAATACTTCATTATTAAACTGCAACAGAAAAAGCTCAATTTGCGAGAAACCTCTTATTTTTAATATTATAGGTCGAGATCTCTCTTTCGGGAATATTTCACTTATTTGTACATATGTATATATGCATTGCTCTGGTTTGTTTTTTCGACATAACATTAATACCTATGATGGATACAGTCGTAATGGTAACTTTGCATAAAAGTTGGAATATTCGTATATTTACCAATCACTCGGGAGAATTTGTACTCTAGTAATACAAGAATGTACGTTCGCGCTGCGCGCCTGAATCTGTCGAGCATCATCACGAGTAATTAATCAATTAATGCGGCACATAATGGCTTCTCTCCAACAATTCGAATCATTATAATCTCTCCGCTTTCCCCTCTCATCTTCGTCGTAAACGCTAAAATTACAGCGGTTTCAATCGTTACTTTTTTCGCGGAGAATAACTATGCGCACGCGACAACGCTATTATTTCAACGGCATTACACGACGTTATCAAATATTACAACGCGCGACGAGAGTTGTTTAAGGACGAGCTATATCGACTATGGCATATCCACGTTACTAGGTAATTAATGGAATGAATACAATGCCCACTTGACAGCAGCGGTAGCTGAATCAGTTGCTGAATCATACGCACCTATTAAATTTCTTTTCCATTTCGCATCGTAATTGTTAAATGTATATATACATATACATATATAATGGACGGGACTGAACGTTGGACGAGCAGAACCAATACTCGTTTTAGTTAAAACAAAAATGTTCAAATATTAATTGGAGCTTTTTTATTAAGCGAACATTATTACTTGCTCTTTTTGAACTACAAATAATTTAAAAGATCAACGCAGAGAATAGATAGATAAAAACCAAGAAAAATTTACTTTAATGATGATATTTAAAAGCCGATTCCGCGAACGAATTTTTAGATTTGCTCACACAAATTCGACAAGTTAAATAAAGTTTGAAAAATTCTATAAATATTTAATGTACAAATATAAATTTTTATAACGCGCGTCGGTTTCCCGTCCGGCGTTGTCATCCGCGATTAAAAAAAAATACAAAGAAAACATATTTTAAAATTGATATTGCAATTACCGTGCGCATATTCGGCCAATCTACATAGACATGCTAAAATCTAAAATGATTAAAGAAGGCACATTGTCAGACTTGCTTGAAACAATTCACGGCAATTTGGTCCTTCTTCTGTATTGCTCCAGGCAATAAGACAAGATTTTGCGTATACGAAAAACTTAATATATATATATATAAAATCTTCGCCCGCAATATATATTCAGTAAACATATATCTAACAATTATTGCTGTGGACTAGCAGCGATTTACTCTTCGGCATCTTCGGCATCTAAAATACTCTTAAAATAAAATGGTTGGAAGGGATATCCTATACCCATGTAGAACTTGGTCATGAACTCGACCCTAAAGCACGAAAATAATAAAAGATATAATAAGAAGCTATAATCATCAAGATACTTCGTCTCAATAATGCTCACAATCAATAATTAACCAATGTCGATCTGTACTAAAATGACGATTCGCATCATGAATAATAATAAAAACGTTGATGCATACAATTTGTAATTTTTGTAATTCTTATTAACCCAAAAAATTGAATTTAATCTGCACTATCTCTTTTTTTTCTAACATGTAGAAAACAATTTCTTAATCTTCTTCTTAAAACTTTTCCAATTCTTCTAAAACGAATCTTAAATTATAAGAAACATACATGCATTTAATTAATATAATATACATACCAGTGAAGTCGAAGTGTATGAAGAAACGCCGAGAGACCCTCCATCAAGACGAGAATGACGACAGTAAAGAAGGCCCAGACAGCGAAGGTGACAAACAGTATGACACTGTTCACGTACTGATCCTCTTCGGCGCCTAAGCCTTGCCGCAACACCCGGTTCCAGAGTACTTCGGATAGCTGGGAATGGGCCAAAGACAGAGCCCATAACCGTAGATAGGACGCGGTGTGCGAGACAGTAGACAAGACGTACTCTATGGTGTGAATGGACTGAGTAATCATCAGTTCGCCAAAGCCTTGGTCCTTGCTCCCGTGGCCACCCGCCGCATCGCTGCTGGTCCCCGCGCTCTGCACTTCCTGCGGCTGCAACTCGATGTCCTGGGACGCATTTCCGTTGCTCTGCAGCAACACGGACGTGCAACGTCAGCGTTTCATTCGTATTTATAATTAAATGCAAAGCGTTAATTCTGCCAATACGGCAAATACAGACAAAACGTATTTCATCTAGATGATAATCTATATCTCAATTTTATTCAATGTTATTAACCACAATGATTTGTACGGCCACGATATTCATGATAATTATCTCTCACAGGTTTGTTAAAATTAATTTGTAATTAATTTTATAATTATAATTATAGTATGGAATAAATTCAAAGGATCGCGTTATCAATGAAATTGCCTTATTGATGTGTTAATATTGTAACAGATAATAATAGATAAGTTGCTTACGTAAACTTTCCCTGGAGCTTTAAATTTTGACGAGCATAATATAAATAACGGTTTTCCAAACAGCATCACGGGGATGCATGCTAAGGCAGAAAAAATGAGAACTTTCTGCAAAATATCCTGCCCTTCAAACATATATTGGGAACAACCCGCGGGCACAGGGGCATCTTTGAAAAGCATCATGTTAATAAACGTAATTAAAACCGATGGTGCACAACCTGGTCTTCGCCCTTCATCTGCATTATGATACATCATGTTACGTTAACGATTACATGTTGCAATTAATCGAACTAAAGAAGATTCATTATTTAATATATTTACCATCAGACGAAGCGTTGTATAAAATCCATTTAATAAACATCAAGACAGTCATGTAAAAAAACAGAAAGACAAGGAAGAACAATTGTGGTATAAATTCTAAGAACAAGCTGGAATACTTCTTGAAATACCTAAAAAAAATTACAATGCAACATGATCAAATATACAAAAATTGCGGAAAATTTTGTCGATTTCCGAAATGTTTTCTATTCCTATTGTGTCAAGATACTCTATTCAAATATCACTAATCATCCTAATACATTCATGTGAAAAAAAACATTATTCTCACATTTTCGTTAAAAAAATTCAGAGAAGAGAATAGTATACTTCTATATTAATATATAGATTACGTAAATAATATATTTACATTTTTAATGACAATTTATATGTTTACAACGTGTAATTTTTTCATCGAAAGCACAAAATACTTACATGATATTGACAACATTCAAGCACACGCCGAAGATCATGTGCGCGACGCCGAAAATGATCGACAGCTTCATCTTGAACGAATTCTGAAATACAATTTTGTTGTGAGCGAGCGCCCAAACTGGATCTAAGCCCATAGGATATGGTTCTTGCAGATAGTGCTTCGCCTTCTCCTCCGGCAACAATTCCAACGTCTTATTTTGTACTGCATCGTTAAGCGTAAACTCAGCTCTCCAACTAGATCCGAATATGTTAACTGACTTTGCGAATATATCATTGTAGATCAAACCGCTGTAGATGGAGAACAGACCCATGAGGAGGATGATATAACGACCGCCGAAAAATAAATTCCAAATTTCATTGTCCGATTTTTGCGCGATGATCTTCTTCTCGCGTAGCACCATGGCCGCACCAAAAAGCGTCAGTATTAGTCCTAAATCAACGACGTGCAACAACTCGATAACGATATATAACGTGATACGTGTGAGCAAATACGCGTATACTATTTTTCGCGTATTTATTTTATTCGTCATTTTTGTTATTTTTTATTCATTTTATTCGCTTTTTTCGTATTTACTCACCGTGGCCAGCATCGCCGAACATGACACCAAACAAAAATGGAAATGTAATGATGGTGTAAAGCGCCGGGTTAGCCTCGCGATACGATGCCACACCGTATACATCAATTAGATTTTGAAAACCTTTTGTAAATCTGTTCGTCCTGTTGAACGTCGGGGGATTTTCATCCGTGTGGATCACGTTGAGGAACGATGGTATAGAACTTCCGCTCGCTTGCTAAAAAATACATTCCGTGGTCATTCGTTTTATGATTCACACATTATTTTGGATTATCCATTATTATATGACCTATACAGAGTCTTGCAAGATAAAAATATATATTGCAATAAATTGTAAATTACTCGTCGAAATAAAAATTCGAAGATTTTTATTACGTCCCGCTTGCTTATCTTTAAAATATATAAATTAGCGATAAAAATATAACCATGTATGCTATGAATTTAATTGGGTATCTATATAATATACAATGTATACCGACCGATCCTTCTGTAAGGCAATTTTGTACAGTCCCGAGATCGGCAATAGGCACCCAACATTCTCCAATAAGACACTTTTTCGACACATCCATGTTGAACAGGTTCATCGTGTGAAAAATGGCTTTCATTTTTCGCACCATGATACTCCAATTTGGCAATTCCTTTGCTACATTATGCAAAACACGTTGGCGATGATCTTGCGTTTGATTTAATACCTTAAAAAAATTATGTCTAAATACAATTGAAGTATTTTCACATACTTTTATATCTATTTAAATATATATATATCCAAATATTATATTTCTACAATTTAATTTATAATTTAATTGTAAAATATTGTTATTAAAATAAAAAAATCTAATAAAACCTAAATATTTAATAGAATTCAATAAAATTAAATTTTGCACTGAGCAAATATTATATTTATAATCTCTTTCGCGCGTGACAATCTCACCATGTTAAGATCTGCCAACTGTGCTCGCACAGCTTTCAGTTTTTCCTGACGTTTAGCTTGGCTCGTTGGACAATCATAGAGCGAAGCGCGAAAACCAATGCAAACCTTCTTAATACGAGTTTTCAACTGTTCTCCTTGAAAAAACGCCACGAAGGCTGTTTTATAAATTTCGTTGCCCTAAAAATATTCCAAAAAGAGAATCAAGCGTATCGACAATAAATGTTTTTGCAATTTATCTTCGATATTTAAAGCAAAGCTAAATTAATATTTTGCAAGATCTATGAATTTTATTTTGACATTGTCTCTTTGGAAGCTTTGAGAAAGACACACTATTTTAATTTATATATAGTTACACAAGTGCAGAAAAAGCAACTCGACCTATTTTATAAATATCTTTTTTAGATATACGAATTATATTATTATACTTAATTATTATTTTAATAATTGCTAATACGTATGTATATATATATTCTAAAAATTATTACGATAGGATTTTTTGTGATATCAATCTTTCATAAAATCCACGTGCAATATAATAAATTAAGCAATTTATCTGCATGTGTAAAAATAAAATAATAATCAGAACTAACCGTAGCTGGATCTTCCAATGGTTTGTCAATTTCGGTTTGCCGAAGAAATACGTTTCCACGGGATATACGCCAAAGCATTCTCTCGAAGGCAGGAACTCGTTCGCGATTTATTACTCCACCGACGAATCTGGAAGGAAATAGATCTCATTTTTATAATATATAATTTATTAAGCATTATATTATAGCATCGTATATAACTGTGATTTCATTAATCTCCTTCAAAAATTTTCCGATAAAAATTAACCATCAAGTATTTATTATTTATTATATGTTTCTTTCCAAGTAAATTATTGTCGCAATTAATTAGAGAGAATTACGCAACTGATAATTAAAACAAACTCCTTTTCATTTTAAATAAATGTAAATCTATTAGTGGGACAATTTATTATTCTGGAGAATAAATCCTGTTAGAATAAATGCGCGTATTAAAGCAATAAAAGAGAGTATTTACGTGCAAATCCGTCCTTTTAATATTATTAAAATATAACGTTACATATATAATATTTAATACGCGAGAGAATCAACTTTTATATCTAATTTTGCCACTTACTCCAGATGTCCGCGAATCGAAGTTGCTGGATTCGGAGCTTCCTCGTTAATGAGCGCCTTGGTAATCGAGTCGTTGGCCTCTTCCTGTTGATACAGAAGAAGAAGAAACGAATCTTGATTCTTCGACAAAACGGTAACATCGATTACACGAAGGAGGACGGCGTTACGAACAAAAGCTGCTGAACTACTTTAGGTACCTCCGTGAAAAACACTTGCGTTTTTTCGAGTACGTGCTGAAATTCCATCAGCTCGAGATAGTTGCTCTTCAGATTCACCCCGTTCTGGCTCAGCTCTTGTATATCATTCTCCGTTTTCTCGAGATGCGCCTGTTGCAAGCGAGAGTACGATATTGATATAATATCATTATTGTAATATTATTAATTCAGGATTGGGTAAGTTAATAATTTTTTTAAACTAAGTTAAGTTAAAGTTAGTTGCTTATAAAATTAATTTAGTTAAATTAAAAGTTGCATAAACAAAAAATTAACTTAAAGTTAAGATTAAATTAACTAAAAGTTATAAATCAAAAGTTAATTTTTAAAAACATTTATATTAAATTAGAATTTTGTTTGTTAATTCTTTTAAAATTTATAATAACACATAACAAAAAAATTTTGATTTTTATATAAAAATATATTTTTTGATAATTACAATTAATAACAAATAAACATAAAAATTAATGATACTTTAATTTAAAAATAATACGTTTATAACATCAAAAATCGGAGATAAAAAAATTAACTTGGGAAAAAAGTTAATAAGTTTAAGGTCAAAAATAACTAGTTAAAGTCAAAAATTAATACATTTTAAATTAACTAATTGTAAGCTAAGTTAAAAGTTACTAACTCTTTAATTTTTTTTAACTTTTAATTAACTACTTATTACCCAACCCTGGAAATATTGATCGTAAGTAATATAATGCTATTCTTCTGTAATATAAATAATTATGTATGTATATGCAGCATTCAAAACTTCTCTTGTAATCAGATATATAATACATAATTATTCGTATATTGAAGACATAGACTAATGAGAAAAATATATGTAGGATGAAAAATCAATTCGCTGCTCGCTGTCAAAGTATAGTATTTTACGGAAGAAAAATTTTACCTCGAGATTTATAATCTCACGTGGGGCGGGTGCCCGCGGTAGTTCTGTAAGATTATCCCGGATAGGCACACCGTCTTTCCTGACTTCCGCCTCGATGTATCGAAGTTTGCGCTCCAATTCGTCGCATCGTCGAACCTCATTGACGAATTTTCGTTGAAAATAATTCACGTCACCGTTCAACTATATAGTGCATCAAATTTTAACGATGTTAGCGATCAGTAGCTGAAAACAACATTCAAACGAGCACACAAGAAACTTGTTTTTTTTTTATTTAATTTTGTATGTTAATTAGATCGGATCACTTAAATGTGTTCGCATAAGCAAACTCCAAAATATACATTTGAAAAGATCTTATATGCATAAAAAATTTTTTATATTTCAATACTTTTGATACACTAAAAAGATAAATAATGCATAACACTTTTCGATCATTATTTATTACATTATAATGGGATTAATTATGCCAATAGAGTAATCAGTGGCGATTACATTCAACTTACATCACGAAATTGCACCGTTCCAGTTTCTCCTAGTTCAGAAACGGAAAGGTAAGCTGCCTCTGGCTGAATAAACAGCTGGCAAAGGGCCATCTCCTCGCTTCTGAACATTCCCCCCATCTTCAAACTGATTTAATCCTCACCCTGCGACGAGAAATAATATTTCTTTTAACTGCAGTTTTCCTCTCTTTCTCTCTCTCTCACTTTCTACTAAATATGAAAAAAAATAATTAAAAATATGGCACAAAGCTATTCATCATTTTTTTTTATAAATGAATGAATTCCAAAAATTGCTTATAAAGCTGCAATTTTTATTAATCTTCTTAAATTATTTATATTAACCGTACAACAAATCGTTCAACTGAATTCAACTGAAAAAATAAAATTTGAATAATACTATTTAAAAATGTTAAAAATGTAATAGTGAGATTCCGCAAAGATATTTTTAAATGTTAAGCTGCAAGATATGACAATTTGGTATCGCGCAAATATTGACACTAGATAAGACAATTATACTTGGAAATAATGTCTTATTAACACAGTACACTTATAATTATCATTAATTAATAAATTTGTCATGTAAGATATAATAAAATATGCAAAACAAGGCCATTATATACTGATAATGTTTCACATATTTCTTAATATGTATTTATCCCTTAATATATTTAATTCTCAATGAAATAAACATGGCAAGAATGATCTATTGAATAGACAAAGAGTTAACGCAATTTTTAACTTCCTAATCAGAGCAAAAGATGATCCATCATACAAAAACTACAGGACAAAATATTGAATGAAAAATAGAGTAAACTGTTTACAAACTTTTTTCTATCATCTGATCATAATTTTAAGAGAATGAGATATGTAAAAAGGATCAGTTTGAAAGACTCAAGGAATGGTAAGAAAAACGCAGTGAAAGACTTTTCTTATTGGTTAGAAAATTGCCAATATTTGATTTGCAAACAACACTTGTTCGTGCTCGACCTTCGAGTACCGAAGATTTTTCTCCTAGATGCAACGCGCGCATTTACGGAGTCACTATCAGAGATCCAATATATATACATATGTAACGTGCGCCTTATCTAAATCGACAAACACGAATTCCTCCGTACAAAATGCAACGAGAGGTGTATATAACTATAATTAGATGCTCTGGAACAGTGTGACGCGTTTAATGTTATATATCTGACGGAGCGTAATCACCAAAAAGTCAAACGAAATGTTTTACGGCGCTATTTTCCACGTAGGTGGAGACGCGAGGGTAAACACACGAATACGAGATAAGCGAAATGCTTCATAAATATATAGGTGAATAAAAAAAAAGTAATGTGTACTTGCGTTTCTCGTGCACTCTCACACTGAGAATTTTCACTGTTATCGCGTCCTCGAGTGAACAAAAAAAATGATACCAATATATTATGCGCTTGCATTCGAATGCGTAATTCGAAATGCAGTAGTTAACAATAATAAATCACATATATTATTAAATTCAAGAGGATGAAAGCAAAAATAGCTCAGATTGCGAGCACGACAATGGCACGAGATTATATAAATTTTCAACTTTATCTCAGGTAGAACATAAAACTCATAATGATGTCATTATGATTTTATTCATCACTTAAAAGTTATCTGGACAAAAATAATTTAAAGATGACAAAAGAAATCACAAATTTAAAACTTCTTACCTAGGTTGAAATACAAAACCGTGTCCAGAGAAATTTAAAAAATTATATTTTCCGAAGATACGACGGAATAATATTTTCCTCCATTACAGTAGTAATCCTCGTTTGATAACAGATTAGATAAAGAAAGCTAATCGATATTACAGTTTCCTAATCAACTCGGAATTTCTTAATGAGAAATGTTTAATGATGTTATTGCATTGTAAGATCCCTAATATTAAACTACATTAATAATACTCTGTCGAAATTTACGATGTCGCTCTCTCTTATCGAACTCTTGCAATCACCATTCACGTATACGTGTTTCTATCTACTTTAAAATAATTAATATACCGTAAGCAAGTCTCTAATTCGATTATAAGTATCGAAAAACCTATCAGCTTTTCTTTAAGCGGCTCAGATCGTTTTGCTTATCAGTATATTATTACCCGTGGCAAATTCCAAAGAGGACATCGAAATTCTAACGTGTTATCAACACGACTAATTAACATCCCAAGGTCCGTCTGTTTCAAATCAACGTTTTTATTCATGTATGTGTGTTGATGTGTATGGTGAATATTCTAGAGAACAAATGTGTATGTCGTGACAAATCTCTAGAATCAGTAAAATAATGTAAGAAATATTCCGAGATAGATATTTTCTTCTCACACGTAAAATGCACTTTAACAAGAGAGAATATTAATATTTCAAGCTCGATTTAAGCGAGATTTATAATATATATGACATTTTATTTTAAGAAAAGATAATATTACGAGGACATTCCACGGGTAACAATCCAGTAAAGTTTCTGTCTAGAAATTATGTTGCTGAATTTAATTTGTCTCTATCGCAAATTTGTCTTCTGTACTTTAAAATTAAATCAACGAGTAACTATATAAATGAATAAGTAATTTATCATATTATGGCACTCTAGCAAAAGTGAAATATTAAGAATTATTATCACATTTCATTGCATTAATGTTTACAAATTAGTTTCAATTGTGTTACATCAAAGAGTAATATAAAAATTAAAGCGTAAAGTAAAAATTAAAGGGTAAAATAAAATTAAAGAATAAATTAAAAATTTAAAAACTTGAAACAATAAAATTCGTTTCCAATTCTACAAATTTTCATATACTCATTCTGATACAGAATTGACTTCGTTATATCAATTATATAAACAACATGCAAAAATTGCACTGCAAAGTTTCTCAGATGCTAAAATTTCCTTTTTGCTAATATCGTTTAGTTTAATTTTACTTATAGCAAAGATTTTGCTATTTTAAAAATAAATATAAATATCATAAAATCATCATTAAAATTAATATAATACAATGTTGAATATAGTTGAAATATGATTAGTAAACGATATAAAAAACTATAAAGTCACCAGATGATAATTAAAAAATGGTAATAATTCAATCGACCAACTCTGGCAAATAAGTGATTTTATTGAATATTTACAACGTTTCGGCCGTGGGTTTCGGCCCTTATCAAGTGCTATGTTCTTAAAACAAAGTAAATCACAACTTTTTTAAAAAACAAAGATTTGATTTTAGAATCTGACATGATATAATAACATGATAGTATGAAAACAAAATATGAATATTCAATAAAATCACTTATTTGCCAGAGTTGGTCGATTGAATTATTATCATTTTTATTATGATTAGTTTTTAAATAAAAAACAGAAGTTCGTCATAATCTGTAATTATAAATAAAAAAAGATATAGAAATATTCGAGAGATGTTTGATCAACATTGAATGATTCACTCAACATCGAATGAGTCTGACAATAAGAGCATAATCATGGAATGTCACAGTTGCGTGCGAAAATGTAGTAAATAGGTAAAACTGCGACAAATTGACAACGGACGGGCGTTGGTTTCCTGTGAAATTATAGAGAGAATTACTTGAGTTTTACTTTTATATATATAACAATATATATATATATATATATATATATATATATATATATTGTATATATGGCAAGGATTAAATAACTCACATTAATGTTTAGCAATATCATATCCATTATTTTTTTATAATCTTACTCAATAAAATAGAGAAAAAAATCATAGTAAATTATCTGAGAAAAATTGTCAAGAAAATAAAATATTGTAAAAAAATCCGATAATGAAAGAATTGAAAGAAGAAAGAAGAAAAAAAAGGGAAGGCAACCACTTATGTTGTTGATTTGTAATTTTAATATAATAAACTAAGAGCAAATTCTTCATGTTATGGCTAGTTGACTGTGTGAGATTACAATTTGCGATATGTCGATTCCAACAAGTGTTAATCTAAAAAAGTAACGCATGTCGATTAAGCGATATGATAAATGATAACAATCGGAAAAAACAAGAAGTAACGACCGAGAATAATGTGGCGGATGATATCTCTGCGATATGACAGCCTATGAATTGTGTCGCATAAGCAATGAAAAGAAAACAATTGTAGATGAATTATGCATCCTCTAATTATCCAAATGTTTTACGAGGAAGAGTCTAGCAAAGTGGATTCTTCCTTTTGACATAAAAAAATAAAGCTCCCTCGTAAACAACACAAATGAAAATATTAAGTGTCAAATGTTTTTTTTTAATTATTAAATATTCTCATCCGTTGATTATTGAATTATTAGTAAAATCAATGTACATTATTATTCAACTATGACCGAGATTACTCACCTCGTAACTGTGAAGACTATATAATAATTTTTTAGACGTGTCAATCTAAATATATTATACGATACACATGAAATTTCCAGATCATAATGTATACGTTATTTATATATAAAACATCTGTATTGCAAATAACATGCCATAAGGCGTTACTCACGCACGTACGTACTAATGATTTACGAATTGTACGTATCAATTTATCATCTTATCATAATTTAATCTTGATTGAGATTTCTAAAGTCAAGGTTGTCGTTTCAATTAAATCGAGTCAAAAATCAATCGATTGAACGATCCAGCTTAAAGAAAAAGTAAATCTAAAATTAATAAAAAGTCAAAATAATCATCAAAAAGCGCTCCATAAATAACATGTGTACAATCTACGAGAAAGCAACAAGTCCACGTGACAATCACATCATAAGCCCATGTCATTCGAAAACAAAAAAAATTCTGCAAGGTGCACCGCTTTATTTAATTTGCCAGACAATTTGTACTAAAGAATTGGTATATATGAATTGGGTTCAATTATCTTATTAAAATGACAAAATCGAATCATGCACTAGATACACGCACAAGTTACAGTCGCCGAAAGTACGGCGAAAATATTGACTCACACTACTGATAGCACACACATTTGCCGGATCATCACATTCGAACGAGCGACGATTAAACGTTACCGTTCTCTGGGGGAAAAAAAAAAGGAAAAAATTACATAACAAACGCTACGAGAGCGGATTTGAACGGACACAATTGTACCGAGCGACTGGCGCACGTCTCGTACCATATGGACCACAACTTCGTCGCTGGTTACGATTCAACGAGTGTAGAACAACACAAGTCCGGGCCAATAAGCTACAAACAAGGGCGGCGACAAGAGAGAAGAATGCTTACAATGAGCTTGCTGTATATGTATGTACATACATAACATATATACGTATCCGAGCGTCGCAGATGCTCGTTCAGAATCAATTCAGCGTGTCAGGTATCGCTGTCAACAGTGTTGTATTTAGATGATTTTAAAAGAAACTAGATAGAAATATGTAAATTTATTTTAGATAAAATAAAGATGATTTTGTTTTAAATATATCTAGATAAAAGATAAAATTATATGATAATTTATCTAGATAATTTTATAGATAATAATATTTAAGACTAATTATGTAAACACAGTTATAAAAAAAATGTAAATAATAAAAGAGATATAAAAGATATGTATTCATATTTTTATTTATAACTTTTTATCACTTACTGCTTAAGTTCTACTATTTAAGTATTTTTATGTGCTATGATTCTAAACCAAAATTATCTGAAAATTATTCTAGATAATTTAGTAAAGATATCGTTTTTTTTCATCTAAGATGCAGATAATACATATTTTATTATAGATAATACTTATTTTAATAATACATATTAGTAATACATATTCAGCGTTGGGTCAGCGTTGGGTGATTTAGCGGTTAAGAAAAAATAACGGTGAGAAAAACCATAAGAATATCAACAAGAGGTCAAAAGGGATATCGAATATAAGTAAATAAAAATATTCATTAAAGTGTTACTAGAATATATAATATTTAGAAAATTTTTAATAAATTGTATAAAAATTATAAATATTAAAATTTTGAAAATAATTATTATTATTTGGCGTGAGTGGAAGTGTGCGCGATACGAGGTGCGTTTTGAAATACAGGGGAAGTAAATTGCGATTAGACAAACAGAAAAAGAAAAATATTATGAATAGATAATAATTTTAAGCCAGTGTAAAAAAAGAAAAATAATAAATTTTAAAAATTAGACATGCTTTGAGGCCCGCGCGAAGCGGACATATTAGTAATACATATTAATAATACATTTTAATAATACATATTATTTTTATTACCTATATAAAAATAAGAAGACGCCAAAGTTTCATCTAGATAATCATCTATATAATTTTATTCAGATAACAGCAAATACTGTTCTTTCTACAGAAAGCCCAAAGATTAAATCCGTATATGAGATAATGTGGAAGATATCGAAAAAACCTTTAGATTTTTTAGAGAATTTTTATACTTTTATTTATGCCCTTTTTGCATAAATATTTGAATTTTTATAGATACACTTAAATGCAATCGTGGATTCGATCGTAATTTTTTTTAAATTGTTTCTCGTTAGTTTCTGATAAAAACGAAGAAAATTAGCATATTTTCTTTCCTTAAAAAATCCTTTCTTTAAAAAATTCAATATTTATTATTAAAATTAAAATTAGCATATTTTCTTTCCTGAAAAAATCCTTTTTTTTAAATTCAATATTTATTATTCGAAAGTACAAAGGCAAAGCAAAATATTTGAATATAGCTAGAAAGTTGTAACGCGTTAAAAAATATATTTTTAGAGTTAATTATATGTTACGTAACAGCGTTTACACACATACACATACATGCACAATTAAAATGGATTTTTCCGAAATTAAAGAAAAAAATATTTCTATCGAAATTTCAACAAATCTGAAGACTATTTATTAATTATTTTTATGAAATGTTGAGAAATGGTTTTAGAATCTAATTGTTAAAGCAAAGAAGCAAAGGAAATTTTGCGCAAATGAAAAATATGTAAATCGACAAGCACTGCTAAAATATAGTGAACAGAAACGACGTCTTTATGTTCCAAACACAAATACACACGTCGTTCGGTTCATTAGTCGCCTTTGGCAGACTAATTAAGATTTTTCAGCATTGCCAATAATTACGTCAAACGTCGCGAGCAAACAAGACAACGCAAATGAATGAGTGTTAATTACGAACAACGATTTTGTTGTGCAGATTTGCGCAGATTATTCTTCTTAATTCAATTTCTAAAGAATAATAAATATAATAAATATATAATAAGTATAATAATAATAATATGTATATAAATAGATGATTCTTTGTCTCTTTTTTACACAAAATACAAAAGAAGAAAGCAAAGTAAATAATTGCTCTGTGATATACAATATACAAATAAAATTTTATATTAGAAAGACATTATAAATTATCTATGAATTATTTTGATTTAATATGAAAATTTTGAGGAATTTTTTCTTAATGAGAAACTTCTATCGGAAATTTTATATGTTAAAAATAACTTCAATTTGTAGAAAGATACCCAGAATATTTGACATACATATTTGACTATATAATTGAAAGTCTTTAAAAAATTTTTCAAATACACTACACTTTATTAATATTTCGTTGTATGACTGCTGTGTCTTTTCCGGATTAATTATCATTTATTCAGTGTGCAGAGATAGAAACTTTTTGAATTTTGTCGTTATTTAATTATAATATTCTTTACTTTTTGGGGATTTCTCTGTAGTATTTGCTTTTGTAATAGGTAATTTTTCGAAATTTATGAATAATTCAATTTTTTTAACTAGATAGTACATCGTCCATTCTGCAGAAAATCGTTATTTATCTTGATCTTTTATTATAGGCTTATCTCAATAACATTATTTTTGGATCACATATTTTAATTTGATTTATGAGATTTCTAGATGTTTGAGGAAAATATAAAATAACTTTAAGTTTAAAATAAATAGTACATCAAGATTCGACATGTGAAAATATTTAAAATTAAATGTAAAGTCTTTTTATTTTTATCTTTGATCCTTGACCAACTTTACTTGTATAATTAATTATTATCATTGGAGAATAACTCGAAGAAAGAACCAAAACATACAATTATATTCCTTAGTTTTGTATTAGAAAAGACTTTTGTATTGAAAAATATATAATATATTTTGCCCCCCTATGGTATCGTATGTTAGCTTGATTTTCTTATTTTATACAAAAATGGAAAAATAGTCTCTTTGTAATTCGCTTCGCTATTGTAAGTATAATCAATCAATAAGTCTTTACGATCTTCGCAATCGATAAACGCACACATTTTCAGACACACGTTGCTCGCGTGATTAGCCGAGATCTTACTCTCGGGGGAAAAAAAGATATCTCTTTATCAAAAGATATCTTTGTTTCGCAATAAAAAAACACAATAAAAATATGACCAACCTTGTTAAAAATTGACACGTATAAATTACTGATTGCAATTTAGCTTCGCACAATGAAATTTTAGTCCCGTTTGTCACGCAGGTGCAATATTCACAACTGATTTGACTAGATCCAACACAACGAATAAATCCCACCTTTCTGATACAAGAAAGGTGTGGAGGTGGCTATAGTAAGGAGAGGGAATCAGAACTCGTGACGATCTCCTGTTAAGCAGATAAGAGCAAATTGTGACAGCACTGTCTTTTGTATTGCCGGTGATTTTGTGTGTAATGCCGCTTTCACATGCGTACTCTTATGATTAGAATCGTCGCTTGTATAGAATGGTTACAATACTTTCGATCGTTATCATGCAAATCGATCTCCCTGGAGAGATCGAGCCAATGATAAACTCGATGGAAATAACAAAAATAAGGGACAGGAGGGAAAAATACGCTAGGATCCTAAAATATCATTAAAAAATATATAGATTTCTTAAGAATAGATTTGATATTTTTATATATATGAAATTTATTTTCACTTTATATCATAATAATTTCCGATGAATGTTCACTTTCAGAGAATACGATTAATAATAACAATCGATGCATTTTTATAGCTACGACTATTTCGAGATTCAATGCAGGTCATAAATTGAGAAGTGCGTAATTCCAGATTGGCTTAATACAAGAGATAAGAAAAATGTAGAATGGAGCAACGAAAAGCCAATATTGATTAATACCAGTAATTGCATACATGCGATGCAATGAATTCGATAAATCATAATCCTAACTCATGTATTTTGCGATAAAACAATAAAAGTTTTTTTCTGCCATTATGTATATATATATATATATATATATATATATATATATATATTCAAAATAAAATATATAGAAAAACATGTGCCAAATAATCCTCTCACAATTATAAAAATTTAACGTAAAAATTCCTTTTCTTATATGCAAATAAAAATATTTTCCCTAAAGCATGAAGAGAAACATTTTTATTAAAATTAAATAATATCTTATTTAAAAAATTAATTATAAATATACGAATTTAGATAAAACATAAGAGCCAAATCGCTGATGGCGCCTAACCAAAAAGATGCTGATGGTATCTGCTCGTCAAAACAATTAATTATGTTTCGTGGAACGGAAACTTGAATCACTGATTGCCGTCATTATCAGCCGCATAAGTCTTTCCTTACAAGGTAGGTAACAATATACTTGAGCATTGCGTTTTCAGATTGTTTGCATGTTTCCTTGCATACTGGTAACAATATTTCTTTTTTTTTATTAACGAATTATATTGTATTAAACAATACTATGAAAATAAAATAAAAATGGCATAACGGATGATAATAAAAGTGTTCACGGGCTTCTCGGTTATATCGTTTCGCATCGCTATCGCCCGAGATTCTGTTGAAGATGATAAAGCAAATGTGATAATAAGTCGGTTGCCGCACATTACCTTTATGTGATATACTTTGTATAGATATTCGTTATCTCCTGATTACTTAAGGTCTATCGCTCTGTAATTTATACACTCGTAAATACTCACTTTAGCGAACTCCACGAGTTTGCTTCTGATTCCGAGAAATATATTACAATTGTACGTAATTACTAATTATGCAATATAGAGACAAGTCGAAAAAAATTTATCAGTACTTGATAATAGGCAAAATTGATCAAAAAAATAACATTTTTCGTTAAAAACACGATTGTCCTTTTAACTGTCAAAGTGTCGTCCACTATTAAGCTTTATTAAAGCAAACACTCGGCTGCAACTGAATTCTAATTCGATCTCGCTGTCAACCAACAACGATAATAATGAGGAAAAAATTACTGTTACTTTCTAAGATAACGTTAGACCGAATCTTGCGGCAGATGGTCGACGGCTACGATAATAGAAGCGATTTCTCGCGTAAGGTCGGTGCTTATTCTTCTATAATTTCTAGGTCGTCGCGGTGGCCTCCAATCTAACGGTCAACTATTACGCAAATTGCCGTATCTGCAGTGACATCTTTCATTATGCGAAGCAATAAAACTTAAGTATTATTACATCACATACGCGCGCGTAGTTCTCTCCGAGAAGAACACACGTGACATAATATGCTCATATGCAGAGATTAGAGCCACGTGATGGGTTGGTAGTCCCGACAACTTCTCGTTCTTTTGCGAAATAATCGATTCGTATGACTAATCATTCATTATCAATCTCGATTATAAAGGCCATGATGTATAAGGAATTTTTGCCAACCAGTAATTGCATTTACTTTGTTACAAATTTCAGATTAAAAGTATATATTAAAATAATTAATTGTTCATGATTTTAGAATGTGATTAAATTGTGCGTTTCACTTTTATAACGTTAAAGAATTATTTAATATCGAAATCATTTAATTATGTATAATCAAATTTTTCCTAAAAATGGGATTAGGTATTAAAAATTAAAGCTGCAAGAATGCGCGTGACTGTTCATTATCTCTGACGGAAATAATCAATCATTGTGAAAGCAAGTCGTTGCACATATATATACATACACACGCACACACACATATATATATATATATATATATAATATTTAATGACATTATAAAAACTGTAGATAATCTTGATGGCCTGTTCAATACAATGATAGCCTATAAATTCCAATCTGATATAATCATGAATAAAAAAGAATATGCTATTACTATTTTTCCAATAACACGTATACGAAAAAAATTTTTCAATTTTATACTAAATATTATAAATGCGAAGTCGCATTATTTTTCTTTTGATCTTTTATTTAATTTTTCTATTCTAGATTATATCTTGTAAAATTTATTCAGACTCAATCATATGTATATTCTACTAGTTTTTATATTGTATAATATATATATATATATATATATATATATAATATATGTTTCTAAGTTTTTCTTGCATTTATAATATTTTAAAATCTATATTTTATAAATTAACATTAATTCTTTTAAAAGAAAAAAATAGCTATTATAAGTTCAGAAATGTAATAAAAGTCGTGCAATCTTTAAATGAGTTTTTTCCACAATGCTTGCACTTATTAAATTAATAATGCAAATTTAAAAATTAGTAATGATAAGTTTTATTATCATTGCTAACTTTATCGATTGCATGATCTTCCGTGAGAAAAAAAACTCGTCAAATAAAACAACATGTATTAGATTCTAAACTATATTGAAGATTATGTCATCCTATTATCTTAAATTAAAATATGAACTTCAAGCAATACTTTTAAATATGTTCCACTTATTAAATCTTTTTTAATAGCAAATTTTGATAGATTTTTTTATTGAGAACGAATTAAATGTGCATGTGTATGTACATTTATAATTTTATAAGTCATAAGTAATAATACTTGTTAGTACTTTAACGTACTAATTTTTATACTATTAATTTTACTCCGAAAATATAATAGTATAAACAAAAAAAATAATTTTTTATAATTCCGTCAAATGAAAAATTATTTCAAACACGTATATATATTCAATCTTTGATAATTCGGATATTTAAATTTAAATTATCATTATTTTAAAAGTAAGCAAAAATAATAGAATCTCCACATATAACTATTACAATATTTTTAAGATATATATTAATTATGAGTAGGAAAGCAATAATTATGAATGAATATTTTAAAGTCATTCTATACATATACATGTATATATGCCTCAAGTGGCCGCATCCTATTCTTTTCTTTTTATATGTATGATATATGAATTAGAGCCCCTTATTAAGTAAAGGGGCTTTACAAAAATTGCATCTCGTAATTTAAAACGGATGCAGTCTAATTTTATTAATGGGTTTCAGCAACAGCATTCTCACTAAACGATCATTGAATACTTTGCTCCCCAAAGACAAGGACAAGTTTGCGCTGGTGCCTCGGCTTTATATACACTGGTTGTGATATTCTGTTCACGGGAAAGTCGATAATGTTGCCATCTTTTGGCAAACGCGGTTACTTGAGGCATATACATGCATATAAGATTGAGATTTTAAAATATCAATTTACAATTAAATATTATTTTACCACTTAACATGCATACATATATTCTTACTTACTTAGAATTATTTTATTTTATATTATTGTTTTATTTTTAATATTAATTATTATACTATCTTATAATAAGTTATCTTGATTTTAATAATATTAGTTCATTAACAGAATTATTATATGTAATATTTCATTTTCAATATGTGTGATATTTATCACAATTTTTCATACATATTTTATAAATATATATAAATTTATTTACTTAAAAATAAAAAAGTATAACAAAAGTGACTTAAAATAATTTTAACTTTAAATAATGTATAACAAAAACTGATACGTTTTACTTTAACTTATTGGATTGTGATTCATGTAATATTATTACATAATAAATGCAAATTAATCTATATATATTATGTCCATTAAAATGCACACTTACCAGTAATTAAAGGTCAAACATTAGTCGTCTTAACACATGATATCAAGAAATTTGTATTGGCACTGCGCGATAGTACTCTGTATGTATTGCATAACAGATTGAGCAACATATATTACTGTAACTGTTGGAATGGTATTCAAATATTGAATGTGGGACGTCAAATTATAGTCAGTTAACTTGCGGTTTTTCATATTGTTCGTATCTGTACATACACCTTACCACAAAACACACCGCATATAATATTGTACAATGCATGCTTTTATTTCTAAAAAAATAACACTTGATAAGGATTGCTCTACATTCAGAAAAATTTTATTAATGTGATCTCACATTAATAAAGAAAATTAAATATGTTTATTTCTTTTAATACTCAAAAAATAATTCAATAAAATAAATATACTTTGCTTTTTAATTCTTATTTTCAATAAAATTAAATGCTACATTAACGTGTTTTGACAGACATAATTTCACAATATCTTGATATATAATTAATAATAACAAAGTAATCAAATAAACATATTCAATAATGCTTAATTTCATCTACGATTCAGTGTTTTATAATTAATCTTTCAATAATATTCAATCGCAAATATGTATTTATTTAAAAATTATTGATGCTTCGCTATTTTCATAGAAATAAAATTTATTAATTCAAATTATGCGTCTAATTATAAAAAAACATTTCTGTAATTTTGCAGCACAATCCATGTGTGTCAAAATAAAATGTATCAAAATTTTTTTTCTCATCGGATTGATATTTTTTGATCAAAAAATAATTAATCATCACGTTTTTCGTTCGATTGTATTAGTGACAATTAATAATCTCATCAAGTCTTTCTCCAGAAAAGTCGCTCGACTATCTGTCGTATCTGTTCGCGCAGATTGTAAGCCGAATATTAAACAGTGCACCAAATTAAGCAATGGAATAAGTGACTGGCAAAAGAACTACGTCGAGTACATGTTTGAAATATCTAAGCAGCACGAACCTTGGACATCAATCAGCCACTGAGTGACCTTAATAATCGCCATCTGCCTAGCGAAACTACGACAAAAGAGGCTACAACGTCTTTCTTCGAGACTGCATGTTGAGTTGCATACGAAATATTTATTTTTTATATGTATAAAATATTTCTGAATAAAACACATACACATACACACATGCTGTAATTTATAAAAAAAAGTGTCTTGATTCTTCGACTAATATTTCAGCTTAACCTTTCTTCAATGAAAATACGCAGATATAAAAAACATTTTTTCAATATTTTAATTAAATTATTTTTAAATTAATAATTGAGAAAAATATCTCTTCTATAATTTTTTTCAGATTTTAATATTTGGTGTTTTAAATAATCCTGTAATTAAAATACTATTATAGTAAAGTTCCGTTAAAATAAAACGAGAAATAAGAGGATCTGACATCTATTTAGGTTAATTGAAGAGTTCCAAGAGTTCTAATTGAATAGTACTACAAGATAATCCAAGTGATTATAAGCAACTCGTGCTGAACTCAAATAACGTGGATCCCATTTTCTGCATAGACAGAATATCTACGTATTTTATGAAGGTATAAGCAAAACAATTCGAATTATAAATAAATATTACGTCAATCATGTACATATATAATTGCGTTTACTTGTATAAACGAACATATGCATGCGTATATGCATGCATAATAACCATCCAACTACTTCCTCAAAACATCAACCTTGAGATAAAACAGTAAAGTTCGAATGAGTTAACGCGATAGAAAATAAAGTGTCGTTATTTTATATGTTATATATAAAGTCGCAGATAATAAAAGCTGTTAAAAAGCAATGAAAAATGAACGTTTATCAATCGCTACGCATATTTATTCGATTAAAAGTAATAGACTAATTCTTTAAGTTATTAATAATTGATAACTGATTACCTCGATGAAAATTAACGTTCTGTATATACAAATTTAAATAAAATGCTATTTTTATACAGTAGTACGTCATCAATTAGCTCTTTCTACAACATATACAAAATAATAAAGGTATACATCGAAAAAAATTGTTAACTAAATCGTTCAACTAAATTACTATTTTATTAATTAAACATAGTATTTAAGTCAAATATACACGTTTTGTGTTAAATTTAATATATTATATTTAATTTAAATATTTCTATATATTCAATTAACAAAATAAAATTTAGTTGAATTTGATTTAGTCAAATTAACAATTTTTTTCAGTGTACAAAAAAATGTATAAAACAAAATAGCATAGAAACTTCGAAATGAATTTTGCTTCTAAAGATATACGAATATTTTCGCACGGAATCAAGTTCAAGTGTTCAAGAGAGAAAGAGAACGAATAAACAGCATCAGAGAAGGAAGAACTACTAATATAAGCTAAACTAGATAGGTAAGTAAATACGATCTGCTGCGACGGGGCATCGAACTTTTACTCTCGACTAAGAGAGTTATGTGCAATGCAAATAGGTATATATACAACGAAAACGAATCGTTCGATTACCTCACCTCACAAGAGTAAAAAAAAGACGTAATACAAAGTGCACCAGAATCACCTTTAATCCATAAATTCTTTGATCAATTTGATATCAATATTTCCTCAACAAAAATATCGACAACCCAATAATTTTCGAGTTATATTCGATCTGAAAATCGAATTTTTCGAAAACTATAAACTTTGAAAAAAATAAAATTTTAAGCTTTATAGATCAGACATTAATTACAAAAATATATATTTAATGTTAATTTAAAACGTGTCAAATGATAATCTTTTTCGACATTTTTTCTAATGAAATATTAATTTTAAATTATATATGCATTATATTTTTTGTGTGAGAGAAAGAGAGAGAGAGACCGTGTATAGGTATCTTTGCGTGTCGGAATCATAATTTCGGTTATTACAGTCGCAATGCTCATTAATTGATAAATACAGCATATGCTCAGATGATTGACTCTGTAATCAATATTGATTATAATTGTGACGGTCATCCTACGGTTTTGCTTCCTTCGCGTGTGAAAAAAGTCGATATTGAGAGAGCTTTATTTATATCCGACTCACATACATATAAAATGACGGGTTGCCACTGCAATCGAGCAAAGATGAAAGAGTTTTTCAACGACTGTATGCCGTTATAGCAACAATCTCGTAGATAGACGCGACGCAGAGATATACTTTTAGATACACTTTATATATATATATTGTATATTTGTATGATCGTGACATTCGCTAACTAGCTAGAACGGATTCATTGTTAACCGATCCTTTCGTATACACTTGCCTCGTAATGCTATTTATACAAGATATATGCAACTTTTATGTATACTCAGTGTAGGCGAATAGAATCATCACGTTCTCAGATATCCTTTGCTAGTATCATAAAAAATATAGGTGTGTTTTCCACGAGTAATCGTGAGCAAATGTTGCTCGAAATCGACATAAAAGATAAGGCGTTTTCACAACAATAATCTCACTAGTTTTACTAATTTAATTTTATATATATCATATTCGTGTTATAGCAATGCGAATATAAAATGCAAAATCAGCGAGCCGAATCTTTAGCTTTAAATGTATAGGAATAGGCAGATATATATTTTAATATTTTTTATGATTTTCCCTCTTTTCTGTTAGTGAAATTAATGTGATATTAATTGATTGAAAATTGCAAATTCTATAAGATTTCCTATATGCTCTTCAATTTTTATACTCTATAATTGTAAGCTCTAACTATAACAATAAGCTATGATTTTAGTTTGATTAAACGAATCTGAATAATCAAAGGCATCTCGCCAATTATTTAACTTGGCTCATGTAAGATTAGACAAGGTTCGGAGACAAACAAAGATTAACGCGACTGCATCTGAATGCGAAAATAAGATCACGGTTGTGCTATACAAATTCCTGAAGTTAAGATCTACGTTTACGCGGGATTTAACAGCAAGTCTTCGTATACTCTTCATTTAACGCAAAGTTTACCTATAAACTAAACAATAACTCGTAATTGCCACGATTTTAATTTACGAACTCAATTTTTATCAAGCTGTCACGTTTTGAGTACATAAATAAATAAAAAGCTTTTAATAATAAATCATACAAATTTGAATCAATTCACACGAACAACACGAAACTTACCTCTTGCTTAAAAAAAAAGACAAAAAATTGGCACTCTTGTTTAATATTTAATGAGGGCAAAGTATCACAAACCTGAAGCCAGTACAGCAAGTCTAAACCAGCCTCTAGTTTAACCGGAGTTTTCCCACGAATAACCGACGCGAGTTTTCCCTAACGCAAAGCAAGAGAGATACATAAACCCGATTCGTCTCGTACGTCTATTCTTACGTTCATAAGGTTATTTACACTCGGTGTCTGACACCATTTTCGTAGCTCGAGCCACGGCATCCGGAGCCAGGCTCAACTATTTGTTCGCTAAAGTCTAGCGTAGTTTTCGAGTGCCGAAAAGTGTAGCGTTTCGCGAAAAACTCAAGTAGAAACGAAGGAATAATGGAACAACTGATCATCCTTGGAGTTTAAATTATACGAAGTTACTCTGTGTTAAAAACGACATTTCTGTGTCATTTCAAATTTCATTTGGTAATTGCCTCAGAATTCTTCAATCGTTTTTGTGTGTATTTCGCAATTATTTAAATATTTAAGAAAATTTCAAGATATTAAATTAATTAATAATATAATATATATAATATATAATAATATATAATAATATAATATATATAATAATAAATTAATATAATATATATAATAAATTAATAAGATATACAATTTTAAGATATTAAAATTTTAGATTAAAAGAAAAATAATTATAAATATAAGCACTTGGCACATTTTTCGTTCGTAACACTTCTATGGAAAAGTTTACAAAACAAAAATATCATGTTTTGATATAGCAGATGCAAGAAACATCAGAATTGTCAACACGAGCAATAAATAGATCCAAGTCACTTTAAGCTTTTGTTTTATACATAAAAGCCCCCGTGATTTCTATTTTTCTCTCTCATTTTTCTCTTCGTGATTTTTATTGTGCATAGGAAAATACCGAAATTTCTGTATTTGTACAGTGACCATAAATTTCCAAGTCAACTAATATATAATTTTAATTTTTAATAACAGCAATAATTTTTAATAACAGCAATAATAGTGGTAATACAATTTAACGATACAGCCAAAGTCACATTTGAAATATCAATTTTTTATATACGACGTTCTAATTTTACGTTAATTAAAGTATAAAGCATTTAGAAATGAGCATGTGCAAAATTAATATATAAAAGATTATCAAAAAATACGTGAAAATAAAAAATACTCAATACAAATACTATAATAAAATTAATATAAATGCCAATAGATAATTTAATTGTCGAGAGGAACTGTTCTTATATAAATTGTTCTTTGTCATTAATATATCCATTTTATATGTTTCTTGATATTTACAATGATTTATATTTATATTATTATTTACAGTATTTGTACTAATCGTTAAATATTATTATATATACACGAGTGAAGACTCTTCACTGAAAAATATTTCAACACGTGTCCCGTATAATTATTTGCAACAGTGTTAAACGCAGACTTACCTGTTTCTGGAAAGGATGGAAAGGTGCGCGTTAGCATTTGTATGAAATCGCGACACGTTTTCACGCACGGTAGTAAATAAGATAAACACTCGGTAAATTATGCGAACTGCGCGTCGCAGCGGATCGAAAGGGACTGAACGATGACCGCGACCCACCACCATGCGCCGATTCTCCCTCGTCAGCCAATACTCGCGAACGTAAACATTCGTAACAGCTGATCGCCGCTGCTGTCAAACTACGCGCTCCGACTCTAGCTCCGATGGCGCGCGACTTGCTACTACCAGTGTTGTGCTTAAATAATTTGAAAATTAGTTAGATAAAGATGAGATTAAAATATGTAAATTTATCTTATTGTTAGGTAAGATGAAGATGATTTGTTTTAAATATATCTAGATAAAAGATAAAATTATATAGCGATTCATCTAGATAATTTTGTAGATAATAATTCTAAGATTGCTTATGCATATAAACACAGTTATAAAAAAAATGTAAATTATAAAAGGGATATAAAAATATACGTATTCATATTTTTATTTGTAAATTTTTATCGCTTACTGCTTAAGTTCTACTATTTAAGTACTTTTATGTACTTATGATTCTACATCAAAATTATCTGAAAATTATTCTAGATAATTTAGTAAAGATAATATTTTTTTCATTTAAGATGCAGATATAAATAATACATATTTTTATAATCTATATAAAGATAAGATAACACCAATATTTCATCTAGATGATCATCTATATAATTTTATTTAGATAACAGCAAATACTGGCTACTACATACATGCATGCATGCATACATGGGCGTCCGCAGAAAGGGCAAGAGGAGATGTTTGCCCCCTTTGGAATCAGTAAAAAAATTAAGCATTTATTCTCTTTTTAAATAAACACTGGAATTTATTTGCATAATTAATATAAAAATAAAAATAAAAATAAAAATTTTTTAAATTAAGAACAAAAAATAAAAACAAAAAAAATTAATTGTCCCTCCCCCTCTAGAAAAATCCTGTAAACGCTCATGCATGTATATATTGAATACTATCGCTAATACAAGTGGTAAATACTACGTGAGATATAATTTCGATTCGACACATTTGTTACCAAATATATTCTCGCAATAAACGTGATTCATTAAATGTTATCCCAGAAATATTTGAGAAAAACTATTTAATGTAATATTTATTGCGTATATATGTAAAAGAAATGTCTAAAAATAATTTATGGATTTTTACATGTCTTTATAATTTTTTTAGATATTTTATTTTATGTAGAGCTAAATTGATAATGAATATATTAAAAGAAATTTCTATGTATGCCATGGAAACCACATAAATGGAAACAAATATTTTTTACGAAAGTTTCGAGTGTTTATCTCAAATTGTAATTTAATTCAAATTTAAATACATAGTTGTATTAACTGTTAAGATGTCATGTAACTTTTTGTCATAACTTCGATTTCATATTTGTACACAAAATAACTCAGCATTACAAAACTATATTTTTGTGTTCTTCTTAACAATTCCTTCTATTAAAATCTAAGGAAGAATGCCTGAATAGGAATGCATAATAGTACATAAGTATGTATATGAAACAGTATCTACTGCAAGATTTATTTCATTGTTAAACTTTCGTATCTTGCAGCAATAGATATTTTAATATATATTCAACCCATACATTTAAAATTTAATAATTCTCTGATAAAATTACACCTGATATTATTAAGCAATGATATCAATTTGATATTTTGTTGTATAATAAATAATAATATTATATATATATATATATATATATATATATATTTCTGATATTTTAATGAAATATGAATAGTAAAATAACTATAGAAAATATCTATAGTATAAAAAAATGACATCCCATTTTATTTAATGTTTAAATGAAGTGTCTCTCTATAATAGAAAATTATAATTCTACTCAAACAACACTCTATTCAAACAAAACAAGATAGAAAATAAAAATAATTCGTCCCATATTATTATAACATTATTGTAACAAAAGAAAATTCATAATAAATATTGTATAGTGTCAGTTGAAAAAATTATTCCAGGTTGGATTTTCATTGAATTTAAACTTTCACAATTCTAATTCAATTTTCGACAAATCAATTTACTGTTATTTGAATTAAAAATATATTATTAAGTACCTTGGATAATGCTAATATTGAGCTGATGCAATCTGTTGTATGCATAATAATTGAAAGTATGTAGTAATTTGTCATCTATTGATGAAGTAATGATGCTTCATTACTTATAGCCTCTATAAGAGGTTCTATACCCATAGTCCAGATCACCGATGTATTTGTATTTATAGTCACTTCAGAAGTTTCATATGTATTCGAGGTACTAACTAAACCTCCAAATTCCATAGTCGTATTATCTGAAGCATAAAAAAACAGAATTAGAAAATTGCTCAAATATGTCATCAAATTTAAACAGATAATTTTAATTTATATTATTCAAGTTTATATAAATGAGGGATATATATATACATATAAAACATACTTAAATTCCACTTCAAGCCAGTTGTTGATATACAATTAACCGGACATCCAAATGGTAGTAAACCGCACCAGGATCGTCGTTGTACTAAAATCTCTGGTATACATATATTGTGCAAACCAGGTTTTAACAACCATGTTAAAGAATTGCTCGCAATTTGTATTACCTGTAAAAAAAATTATTTTAACAAAAATATTCAACATATAAAAACACAATTTGAACTTGTCTGTGTTAAATAGAATATTCATCACCTGTATATTTCCCACAAGCTTGTCACTTTTATACAATGTATTAATATTGCCAATGATATGATCGAATCTGCCCGATGTTTCTGCAAGCACGTATATTTCACCTAACTGTCAACAATATTATATTCTCTCTTTATTGTATATAATATTAATTAATAAGGAGCAACAAATCTTAAGGATTACATTTATATTTCTCGTCTTGGCATAGTGCGCAACTTGCAACAAGGCTTTGGTATAATCTGTATGATTCTGATTAGGTGTCTCAACAACAGTGGATCCTATATGTCCCAATTTTTCAATTATAGCTGGTGAACAGCTATCCATATCTCCTGTTATAAGATTAGGTATATACTTCCTGTGCTCATCGCTCAACACGTCTATCCCGTACTCCTCCAAATACTTCAGCCATCTGTGCGTTCCACCATCAACGGTGACTGTGATTTGAGCTGTAAAATATAAATATAAATTACTAAATGTAAATTACACCGTTTGGAGTAAATTATTAAATACAAGATGTTCAATTACATACCTTTCTGCCAGAATCGGAGCATAATGTCATGTTTCCAAAATATGGGACGATTTAGCACGATCACCGCGTATTCACAGCACGTGCCACATTGAAATATATCGAACGGATTCCATGCTGTCCCGCTGGACTCCGATGTGTGTTGCATCGCGCGATGCGACGTAACCTGTCTCATCACTGAAATTACGTTAATTGGCGGATTAGGGTTAAGCTACAGAGGAGCATGAATCTGCGTAATCTAGGATATGTTTCTGCCTCTGTTAAGCTCTCTATCGAAATGTGTGATCGGGGCGAAAGAGAAGGGATCTGTTCCTAAACGCTCTCTTGCTCACCTTTGGCCTTGAGAATCTTACGTAATTCTTGTTTAGCCTCATGACGAGATTTTGGAACGCGAAATGACTCATTATTATTTATCCCGATAACGACGATATTATCGAGGTATTAACGCAATTTTATTTTTTTGACAATTTTATATGCGTGTATGTGTGTATGTTTTATATATAAAATTTGATATATATTAACTTTTAAGAATTTTACCGCGATACAGCTGTCCAAAGATATTTTCACAAACATCACGTTACAAAATATCCCGATGAAAATAAATGACTCAAAATATATGTCAATACCTACTGACAAAATGCAAAATAGTCCGTGCATTCGAGAAGCACGCCGCCTCCGAAATGTCAGCTGTTCGGCTGCACTTTCTGTATTTAAAGCGGAGCAAGTATATACATTCGCGTTTAGAAAAAAGAAAACGACAAAGAAATGTCAAAATATAATATAAAATCTAATTAAAAACCTATAAAAATGTATTTATTTCAGTTGCAATATCGTACCGCTGTTTTTCTTTTTTCTTTTAAAGTATGATGTATATATGACATATAAAGCGCAGAAAGTGCAGCAGAGTTCAATCAAAACAAACAGACGTCACACATCTTGCAGTTCTGCAGTCATCTGCAGTTTGCCTGCAATTTGTTCGTACGATATTGATTTATATTATTTTCATTCGTTCGTTTCGGTTTTTAAATTGATATTATACGTGTATTCTATTGTTGAAAAAAATATTGTTTTACAGACAATCGATGGGGTCGAAAATTTGGAAATGGAAAAATATACCCGGCATTCCAGGCCGATGCAATGATGTACTTTATACGCCGCCAAAATTGCAGCCAACGCATGATCTTCTCGTATTCTTTGGCGGCGATGTCCAAGTATGTACAGAATTCAATTAATTACAATTTTTATTTCTATAGAATATTCAATTATTTTTCTAACACTGGCTGGATTTAAAAATAACATCTTTTAAATAGTTTGATATTTCATACAAATGTACTGTAATTCTTGATGTTATATTTTCTCCAATTTTTAATATATTTATTATATTAAATTTATATAATAAAGATATATCACATTTTATAAAGATATAATTATATAATCTTTTTTTACATAAAATCAATATATATATAGCTTGTTCTTTAAAAAAATTATAGTCTTGTTAGACTTAATAGTTACATCATTTTTAATAATTGATATATTTTATATTAGCAACATTGTAAAGTTATATTCAAGTGAAATTATTATAGGACATTCGAGAAAATATGGAAAGGCATCCAGATAGTAAGAAGTATTTGAAATGGAATTTAGAAAACACTGCAACTATACTCTCTGAACAATTTCCTAGAAGTCACGTATTTATCGTTCGTCCAACCAGGTAAAACACTCATTATACATAAAGAAATTGAGATATTTCATTACTAATCCTGTGTAATATAATTTCTTATTAATTAATAAAAATTATTAAAAGAAATTATAATTTTCCCTTTTTAATGTTATTTTTATATTAACTTATCTATGTAATGATTTTATTTGTTTTAGGATGTTAATAACTAAAAGTGCAGTCTACAGTTGTTTCGATAACTTTGTGCCTGGGGACAAATATGGTACACCCTCATTTTGTCCAATGCACAAGGCTTTAAAACATTTAAGAGAACTTCTTCTTTGTTGCTTAGAACATGTTAAAACATTAAAAATGGGAGAAGTATGCATCGAAGAAAAGATACATATACATATATAAAAATTTTATAAACTAATTACACATTTACTTCAACTTTGCTATATGTGTGTGATTGTATTTATAATTCATACTTTATGAGATATTCTTGAAAAATATATATAATTTATATAAATCAATTCCATTAAACAAAATGCATTGTATGCATTGAATATAACATTTGAGGTATCAAACTAATAAATATTCATTTTAATTTATAGGATATCGATGATGATTATAATCTTAAAGCAACAAATTTAAATCTAATGGGCTTCAGCAAAGGATGTGCAGTTTTAAATCAAATTCTTTATGAGTTTAATTATTATGCTGAAAATCCAAATGAGAATATTCATATAAATAATTTTATAAAACTCATCAAAAGTATGTGGTGGTTGGATGGTGGACATAATGGTGCCAAAAATACATGGATTACAGAACAGAATATACTTCGGTCTTTTGCTAAATTAAGTAAGATGACCTGGCAGAAATATCTGCAAATAATAATCTGGCAATATTTCAATATAATATAGTTAATATTTTTTATTATTTTTAGGAATAAACACTCACGTACATGTTACACCATATCAAGTACGAGACACTCATCGACCATGGATTGGTTCGGAAGAAAATAATTTCAATGAGATTTTAAAAAATATGGGAATATCTGTACAACGAACCTTACATTTTGGTGACAAAACACGAAGTTTGTCATGGCATTTTAATATTCTTACAGATATCAGAAATAATGTAGAATAAAGTCGTTGTACACTTCTCCAATGTTAAATGTTGAAAATATACTAATAAGTATTTATCTATAAAATTGATAGAATAATAGATTACAGTGTTTTCTCACTTGAGAATGAAAACAAGCATAAAACTATATGCAAATTATAATCTTGATTGATAATAATAATAATGTAATTGGCATTTCTGTGTTGCAAATTATCTAAAAAAAATAATTGAATAGAATCTATTTTATGAATTTAGAATATTCCTATAATATGTACATTAATTTAATCAAAAATATAATCTTAAAATATAGTCATAAGAAAGAGTAATAAAGTTCATTAAGTACAAATATATGTGATGTAATATTTACATTATTATTACAATTACTGTACAACTTTTATGATATTATTATTATTATATAATATACTATATATTTTTGAATAATTACTAGTTGAAACTAATAGATTGTAATTGTTTTTATTTAAAATCCTAATATAATAAAATCATGAGCCCCATTTTTTTTTATTTCCATAGAAATTTCATTATATTTTTTATTATATTTTTTTAATAAATTTTATTTTTCATATTTTATTATATTTTATTAATGGTTGTAAGATCCCTTTTTATAAATATAAAGCAGAAAAATATATATCGAAAGATATAATAAAAAAGTATATAAATTAACATCACTACAATGTACTTTTCTCTGTAAAAAGAGATTAACTGTGTGTATATATTATTACATTCTCTTATTAAATTACTTCGATATCTCATAAATAACTTGTGTGCTAATTTGAAAAATTTGTATTATTTATCTAATCTAATAGATAGATCTATCTAATTAGATCTATCTAATAGATATAAGATATATTTTCTCAAATCTAATTTTTTGTTATTCACAGCTGTATTTTTACGTATGTTTCTAGAAATGTCTTTTTTAAGTTGAAGAAAAATAAGAACTTGAGTTTTATCAGCTACAATTAAATTAACAACACATTATTACAACAACACATCATTACTCAATAAGTTCAAAAATAGTTTCCCTATCATGAAAAACTCTACTTCCATTTTTTTTTCAATGTTGAGCAACAAATTTAATTTCTCAATTCTTGCTTTTCCATATAAAAAAAATTGTTCAATATATATAAATATGTTTTAGTAAAAATCTGAGATAATAACAATTATTCTAAGTATTTACCTATTATACTATTTGCATTTGTTATACAACTTTTATCATGATGTATCTAAGTCCATATCGGAAACAACAGCTCTTACTTTCCAATTTGAATTATAATTCACTAACATCTATTTGGGCACTTAACTCCATGAAAAGTTATACCTCTCGATCCTGTAATAAATATGAATAATAAGTATCAAATTATTAAAAACATTTATTCGATATATGTATATCTTTATTTGATTAAATAAGCAAATTAGAATGTTTCTTAAAACCTTTGAGCTCGTACAACAGTGCTGCTTCAGCCCATTCATCAGAACCATCGCAACAATCACAAAATCCATCATTGACCTTAAACGATGATATCTTTGCTGCAATTTCACACATAATTTTTAATATTCTAAATTTTATTTATCTAATTATAATAAAACTCGAGATTTTATTACAATACCTGCTGATTTTCTGGAACTAGTCTCGCAATAGAAGACACCGTTATTGCACGCAGAGGTACCTGGTTCATCGCTACCATCCATCGGACAGTCGCAATAATCATCATTAATTTTCACAAAGTCGATTTCCCTGTTTGAAGCGAAACAGACGAATTTCCCCCTAACATTGGGAAGATACTTAGCAATATCTTGGTCTCGTGTACCACGCAAGGACACAGTCTGTCCGTTTTTGTCACGTATGAGCTTGGAGTGTTGCGGCTGATGCCACTTGGAGATTCGCTTTCCGACGACGACGTGATGATTATCTCGCAACGAGCCGGTGATCAGTTTGCCAACGCTCTCCCGATTCAGCTCTTTAAAGTAAAACAGCTGATGAAGCACAAATATCACGGCAACCACGAGGACGCATATCAGCATGTACTTGAGCTTCTTTCGCAAGAATCGCCGTTTCCAGGACACCTCGGTTTTCATGTTTTCTTACCGGCTAACCGTCATTGCAAAACAAATCTCTCCCCCAATGCATTTCGTACACCGTATACATTCGTCCGACACGAGATAATCATAACGTAAACATTTATGCACCTCGCATAAAAAACGTCAAACGTCAAATGTATTTTTTTAATTGCTCACTTTGCAGCTCAAATGTATTTTCACGCGTCTTCGTACCGTTCAATAGCTTTATTTACACAGCCACGCACACTATTGTATACATACAGGGTGTTCAGCAAAAAAAGCAAAATGTACTTTAAGTGCGGAAAGTGTACAAAAAGGCGCAGAACGAAGACACGTGGGGTAAATGATACTCTAACCTCTTTTTATATTTCGGGAGGGAGATTAAAATAATAAATATATAAAATATTTACAGCTTTTCTCTTATGTCCAATTTTTTCTACAAAACGTACTATAGTACAGTGAACGTAGGACTTGCTAAATTCTCAGCGAAAATGACAAGTCAAAAAGCTGTACTGATTTTTGAAATATTTGTCGAGTGTCAAACTACAAAAGCCAGAACCGGCAGGATGACACTTGTTCATCATCATGTAGACACACCAGTATTCATGCCAGTGGGAACTCAGGTTTATCAAACTTTTTTTAAACTCATTTTCATACTTAAAATTTGTTTAAAAAAAAGCTTTCATATTCCACCATTCATAATTAAAACATTAATGATAATTGTACATCCTTCCATAAATTAATTATTTATATCCTATATTTACCATATTTTATTTTTTATTATATATATATATGATATATATTGTATATGATATATAAATAAATAATAAAATCTGATTTCATTAAATAATTGCACAATTTTTAGGGAACGTTAAAAGGATTGTTGCCCCAACAACTGGAACAATTGGATTGCCAAATCATTCTCGGCAATACATATCATCTGGGAACTAGGCCTGTAAGCATAGAAATCATATACTATTGGTGGAAAAATATTTAAGTTACATAAATAATTTTAATTACAATATAAATTATATATATTAACAGGGTGCAGACGTTCTGCGTAAAGCTGGAGGTTTGCACAAGTTTATGAATTGGAAAAGAGCGCTGTTAACAGATTCAGGTGGTTTCCAAATGGTTTCATTGTTACATCTAGCCGAAATAACAGAAGAAGGTGTTAAATTTAAATCACCATATAATGGTAATATATGATCAAATATATATTTTTAGATATACATTAATAACTATATAATTCCACTGACTTTTATATAATGGTTCACAGAATCTGAATGCATGTTGACACCTGAACATTCAATTCAAATTCAAAATACGATTGGTGCTGACATAATTATGCAACTTGATGATGTTGTTAAAACTACTTTAACTGGTCCAAGAGTAGAAGAGGCAATGCATAGGTATAATTATTGTTCTATAAATATATTTTTTTGTTAGATTATATATACTTAAATATTGCCTAATTTATAATTAAATGTTAATTAATCTCATACAAAATTAATGATTTTAGAACAACACGTTGGCTAGATCGTTGTTTGTTAGCACATGAAAGACCTAATGAACAAAGTATATTTCCAATTGTGCAAGGTGGTCTCAATTCCGAACTGCGATCCGAAAGTGCACGACAATTAATTAAACGACAAGTGAACGGATATGCTGTAGGAGGCTTGAGGTAAAAACATATTACTATATTATTAGAGTATAAGCAATTACAAAAAAGAAACAAAAAAATGTTATATAACATAAACATTAAAATTTATATAATGATTTTTATAACGATTTTAGTGGTGGGGAAAGCAAGGACGATTTTTGGAGAATGGTTCATCTATCAACGAATATCCTTCCAAAAGACAAACCACGATATCTTATGGGGGTTGGATTCGCAGTTGACTTAATTGTATGCTGTGCATTAGGAATCGATATGTACGATTGTGTATTTCCAACAAGAACAGCTGTGAGTATTTTATAAAGTATACATTGAAACTTAATGAATCAAATAATACAAAAACTTAATGAGTCAAATAATACAAAAAAATTAATGTTAAAATAAAACTTTCAGAGATTTGGTTGTGCTTTGGTACAAACAGGACAGCTTAATTTGAAACAAGCACAATTTAAAAAAGAAATGATACCGATAGACGAATCGTGCGAGTGTAGCACCTGTAAGACTTACACACGAGCTTATTTGCATCAAATCGCTACAATAGAGACAGTGTCATGTCATTTGTTGACAGTTCACAATGTTGCGTTTCAAATGAAGCTGATGCAAGATATCAGAAACAGTATAAAAGAACAAAGATTTCCTACATTTATACAGGAATATATGTTGGCAGTTTATCCCAATAAGGACTATCCAATATGGATAATTAATGCTTTGAAGGCTGTCAATGTTACTCTATTGTAAATGTTTTTTACATTAATTATATAAAAATTTACATTAATTATGTATAATTACTTCTTATAATTTATTCATTTAATTATACTAAGATGTGACACAATAATATATGTATATAAATATTTGCCACTCTATGTATATATCGAATAATATTATTTGCTATCAATGTACAATCATGAATTAACTAGTGCTTTTTTTTAATTTATAAATAAAATCTCTAATCATAAACAAGCATAATCTACATTAATTCATATAGAGATCAGATATCTTTTATAAAAATATTTGGAAAAGAGCTTATAAATCAGTTAAATAATTGTACCTGAATGTTTTTTTACACACTTCAATTTTCTTCTTTTGCACACTTTTTGTTATAGATGGAGGATGAGGCACAAATATTACAAATGCTAATATTAATTTCATCACATGAAATCATCCGAATCATATCCACTGTTTTCCGTGTTTGAAGTCATATTAGATGTATTAAATAGAGAATTATAACTCCTGAAAAATATAAAATTATTCTTATATTAAAGTTACAACTTATTAGCTTAATTTAATTATAAAATTTAAAAATAGTGTGTTGTATATATGCATCAAATAATTATGACTAAAATTAAAACATTAATATCAAATCTCAATAATAGGCAGTAATTGCTGTTATCTAAATAAAATTATATAGATGATCATCTAGATGAAATTTTGGCGCCATTTGATTAAATTATCTAGAATAATGTTCAGATAATTTAGTTTAAAGTCATAGCACATAAAGATACTTAAGCAATAAAGCTTAAGCAGTAAGCAATAAAAATTTATAAATAAAAATATGAACAAACTAAGATTCAATAACGGCTCTGTAATATAAATATAAATATAAATCATAAAAAAGGCGTAAAGAGCCATACGCGGATGTTTTCTACGTACATTTACAACGAAACTAAATTTTCGTTGGAAACAAAGCGTGCGCAAGGCACGTATTATTCTCGGTGTACCAACCAAGACTTTAAAAATTGAAATAATCTCTTACTTGAGATTTAATTTCAAAAACCCCTAACCTGTGGAAATAATTAAATAAATGCAAAAGAAAAATATAGATCCGAAAGTCGCTGAATCGGGAATCCGGAATTCTGCCTTCCTTATGATTTAGATTTATAAAAATATGAATATATTTTTAAATACCTTTTATAATTTACATTTTTTTTATAATTGTGTTTATATAAAGCAAGTTTTAAAATATTATCCGAATAAATCGCCATATAATTTTATCTTTTCTCTAGATATACCATATTTAAAACAAAATCTTTATCTTATCTAAGATAAATTTACATATATTTATCTCATCTTTATCTAGATAATTTTGAAATCATCTAAGCACAACACTGATAATAGGTTACCTCATCTCTGCTTCTTCCTGACGTCGTTTTTCCTCTGCCTTTTCCCTTTCTTTCTGCTCTCTTAAGAGCTTCTTTTTATCTTCTCGTTCAATTTTATCTCTCTCTTCTCTCTCAGCTCTAAAGTTTACTTCTTCAGAACGTTTTGTCTTACTAAGACGATTCACAATAACATTCATTCGTTTGGCAACATGAATCTTACGAACTTCTTTGTCCTTATGGAAACCAACTTGACCAACCTCCATGCCTTGTGTTTTTTTCAAATTTGACCACATTGTATATACTACATCGATATCATTTATTTTGTTCCCTTCTATACTGTTTGCCTTTACTAATTGTGCGGCATCTTCCAACACAGTGCTGGGAATGTCATCTATTGTCTGACCCTATAATTTTGGAAAGAAAACAAATGTTTTATATCATATTTTTAACATCTATTAAATCAGATTTAATTTTTAATCAATAAATTAAACTTACTTGTCGAAGTCGAAGATACACATGAGCAGAAGAATATTTATCAACATGAAACCATACATCTTCTGGCCAACCCCACTTGATAAGATCTTCATCTATGATAAATAATTAATCATGCATTAAATTATAAATTTTTATTAATCATAAATAATACAGAATATTTTCTACTTACTCTCATATTTATCAACTCCCATAAACAATGTAATGGGTGGCTGCACCACTGCAATATGTAAGATTAATTGATTAATACAATATATTAATCTAACCTCTCAAAACAGTAACAAAACAATGTTGTCAATAATTTAGAAAAACACATAATACTAGTTTTCCATTTATTAAAAATAAAGATAATGTTGAGAAATAAAAATAAATTACCTTCGCTTGTAAAATAATAAACCATTATTGATAAAAATTTCGACTAAAACCCATGCAATAAAATCAGCTGCTAAAAATATTTTTGTAGCGCCAACGATGATGCTGTATCGATATGTTCAATCTCAATCTCGATATTTAAATCGAGTATTAGGCGGGAATTATCACTACGAATTATAAATAAAAATCTGAAAAGAAATTTCTATTAACTCAATCAATATATTTATTCAATATTGGCAATTATAAGTTTAATAAATTCTGCGATTTTATAGTTCAATATATACTTTCACTGTATATATATTTTTTTAACTAACTTTTTGAAGATTAAAGCAATATACACATTTGACATGTTCTGAATTGAATTTTATCAATTCCATTTATTTAAGAATTTATATTAAGCGCCAAAATAACAGCTGTTGTTTATATTATAAAGCATTTTCTCTTTTCAAGAATTGTCAACAAGTAAAATGTACAACGTTGAAAGCAACTTTCAGCATTCTGCATAAAGATCATTATGTGCAATTAATGGTATATTATAGTGTACTATGAAATGCATTCCTCATGTGGAGGAATGTCAACTTCATGTATATATATTTTTTTAAATACTAGCAACTATAATTTTATATATATAATTTATATATATAATTTATATATATATATATATATACATATATATATACATATATATATATATATATAATTTGATAATTATATATAACTATATAATTGTATACGAGCAAGCAATAGTGTTACAGAGAATCACTAATTGAAATGTCTGATATTTCAACTCTCTGTGAAAATTACTTGTAAATTTATATAAAAATATCGATGTTTGACAGAGACTCAAATAAGTTTCACAATAATGTTAGGTATAGCGATTCATGTGGATGGCATGTTTTTCAGCATGATATGTCTTAGATATTTGGCTAAGCACAGGTGAAACTTCAGGGTCGTTAATCCATACATTTGTCGATGCTGGCGTTTCTATCATTGATAAATATGCTACAATAGTAAAAAATTTTAAGAAACATATAATTAAAATTTTTTACATATCCTCACAGCTTTATCTTACCAAGCAACATTTTAGGATTTGTAAGACTAAGCTGAATATGAGAATTGCTCATAATTGCTTTATAAATTGGACCATCAAATTCCAGGCCCTCATCCAAGTCTTGTAAGCTACGTCTTCTTTCACCCAGCAACCATTCACACTATCAAAACATGTTTATTTAAAATTATGAACTATAATGCTTTTGCAACATTTATCACACTAACTTACAGCATTGGCCTGATCATTTCCAGTAATTTTCAATGCTCCAATAACATTTTTTTCGTCAAAACCCATGTCCACGAGCGACCGCACTGCTCTCTTATTAGGTTTAAATTCCATTTTCTTATATTGTCGAAAACTTTCTAACAATAATTCTACAATGTGTATTAGATTTTTTTCTTTTTCATCGTGACCTAAATATATTTTGATGTGTAATAATTTGAAATATATATACTTCCATGTAGTCTGTAGTCTACTGTTTTCAATTTAAAATATTATTTTTTAAATAATATCAACAAAGTGCATAATTCTGCCTTGTACCAAAATTACCTATTTCGAAGATATCAATGCATGCATCTTTTAATGATATTTTCTTAGTGCTCATTGAAGAACTAGGACCTGCAACATTTTCATCTGTTATCGAATCCATAAATAGATCTGTTTCATCATTTTCATCATCTGAATCATCCTGATGCTCTATAAGCCATTCTAAAGCTTCTGTCATATTTGATCTAAAACAAAGATATATTTTTTATATCTTTGTTGTATAATCAAGTTATATAAGTTATAAATATTGATGTTATTTTCTTAATTCTAATATTTACTTTCGAAGACGCAATGCTTTGAAAACTTTCTTGTGAGAGTAGCCCATTTCCATAAGAGTTTTTACAACTTTTGGATCATTAGTAGGTTTACATCTAGCTTCCAATTTCTCCTTAATAATGTCATATAATTTTTCAGCATCTGGACTATGCATTAAAATTTTTGCAGATGCTTGCACAAGGGTTATTAAAATCTTACGAATTTCAGTCTGAAACTATAAGTAGTTATAAAGGTAAAATAATATAGTAACAATTAATGTTTTCTAAACAAAAAATATTTTCTATACAATATTTTCTATACAAAAATATACTTACATCTGCAGGACATTCTGTAGATGGCACAAGTTTAGCTTTAGCATTTTGATTAGATAAACCTCTTGTAGCTTGAGCTATCGCTTCTAAACTTGGACCCTTAAGAGCTTCATCTGAAAGATTCTCTTGTACAACATTTGATCGAATTTCTACTAATAACAATTCATCTGTAAAAATAAATAAATTATTCATTATAACATAAATTTATATACATATATATATATATATATATATATATATAAATAAGAGATATATGTAATATACATAAGAAATCTAGCAAGAGAAAGCAAGAGAAATATGGCAGAATATATCAAAATATATAGATTAATTATACAGGGTGTTATAAAAGTATCGAAACAGCAGACTAACTCGAAAAATATGAGTCCTAGAAAAAATGCTAAGTACTGGGTTTTTATGATTTTTTCCTGGCTAAGGTAACCGTCAGATAGCCAGAAAAAAAATCATAAAAACCCAGTACTTAACATTTTTTCTAGGACTCATATTTTTTAGTTATTCTGCTATTCCGGTACTTTTATAACACCTTGTATAGATTTAATGTAGATAAAATTACCATATTCATTGATATCTTCATCATCAACATAATTTTCATCCACAAGCTGTTTAAATTTAGATGAATGAACTAAGCGGTAACGTGAAATGGGTTTAGTTGTGTCTTGACCATAAAAATGTATCACTGCTATTTTTTTAATATTTCCTACAGTAAAATCTGGCTTTACCGTTACATCCAACATATTACCCTCTATGCTACATAGGAAAATTTAATATTATTAATGATATATAAGATTACTTCTTGGAATTTAAAATCATATAAATTAATAAAATACCTGATAACATTGACAGAAAAGCTTTCAGGTGAGGTAGGTAACGGCATAAGCATGGTATTGTTGCTTGCAGGATTGCCTGTGCCGACAGAAGAAAGGGCCAAGGACCGCTTATCGGCAGTCCTTGAACTTTTTCTGTTATGCCAGGCCTCTGCTATTTGATCACGCATCCATGGGATCATTAAATTTACTTGAAACATTCAAGGAACATTCATTGTTATAATAATTGTGACATGAATAAAATTGCAATAAAAATTGATATATTCTAAAATCTTTTAAATTACAAACTAAATCAACTCTTTATTTATACAATATATGTATAAATTTTATAATAAAACTGTACATGTATACACACTACATACAAACTTCATTTTTCATAAATGCAAAGCTCCAAATTTAATTTTTCTAAAAACTTGTAAAATATATACCCACCTTTTATATTCAAAAACTTTTTACATAAATAATTCAGATTTCAATTTAACGTCCAGTGAAAAAAATCGAAAGATGCGATAACAGAGGTTATATTGAAAAATATGTAGCATTTTTCGAATAATCTGTCGAGCTGTTAAATAATCAACAGATCGGCTGTCATCTTTGAAAACGATGCATCGGAGAAAATTATTAATTAAAAATATCTGTTTACGTCTTTAATTTTTTAACAACATTGTCGCTATCGTTACGTGTCGTTACAAATATGTATCGACGTAGTAATGCAAAGTTGTAGTTTGCGATAATTTGATGAAGCGCCGAGAGATGTCATGCACTAAAACATCGAATTTCTTTACCGACAGATTATTTTTTTTTTATAAAATATTAATATTTTATATTATATATTTATATATTTTTTATTATAAAAAATATACGACAGATTACGAAAACAATAAACGATACGAAGCGAAGCAAATAAAGTATAGTAATTTTATATTAATTTAGCAGAGAATTAGGATGATTATAAATCGTAATATGTATCAATAATATATATAGATATGTATATATTAATATTATAATGTTAATTATTGAAATTTTTGTATTTATACTTAGAAATAGCGCTTTCTACGACGCAAAGGCGCCTCGTAAAGAGAAACAGAGTCCCGTAGATAGCGCGTCGCCATGGCAACGGAACGCGCGGAACATGAACTGTCAAGTTTCGCGTTCCGCCGTTTCGGTCAGCAGCTGCGATTGTCAGCTGTTCAATATGGAACGATAGCAAAGTGCAGTCACTTGTAGGAGTCGGTCGACGTCGGATACGGTCAGGCAGTCGAACAACCGAGTCAGTCAGCCGAACGAGCGGGTCCTCGTGTCAGGTGAGCGGCGCGCAAGAGCGAGCGCTAGAGACGGAGGACAGCGAGGGACTGAATAAGGACCACGCCGCCGTGAGGGAGAGAGTGCGTGAAGGACAGCGTTTCTCGCGTACGCGCGCGTACCTGTACGATTTATGCGAGACTCTCACGCCAGATCAACCTGGATGTATTAACGCAGGGGCTAAAATACAGCATATCAGGACTAATGAACCTCGCAACAAATCAGGCGTCCGACACGACGTCCGACACGCAGACGAATGGTCCTTACTTCGTTAACTTTAATCAGGACTGCACGTAAGTGTGTTCCGTCTGTGTGTCCGTTTATCCAAAAGCATCCCTTTTCGAGCATCCCATCCCTCCGCGTGGCACATATTTATCTCATCCGTCTACCTTCCTTTATTTCCCTCGACGTTTCCGTTTCCACGTTGACGTGTGTCGTTTTTTTTCTTCCTTTTCCTTTCTTTCACGCGATAATCTCTCGCGCTTATAACGCGCATGACTCGCGCCTCGCAATTAAGCAAGTTACGCGCTCCATGTTTTCCTCGCGCCAATGTTTTCATTGTCTGCGTCATCTCTATCGCTTCCCCTTTCACTGATTAATTGCGCGTTAACCGAGAAACGTTTTCCTTGTATTACGTTACATTACGCTCCTTTGTGAGGTAATGTGCGCGTTTACGTGCGAGAAAGCCAAATATTCGTCCCTCGTGTGTCTCGGGCCTTTCTCTATTCACGTTCTTTTTTATCCAAGGACCTCACCTCGCTCCTGATCCTCGGATACGATTGCGTATGTTTTATTTTATTTCACACATACTCACGCGCGTGAGCGATGATTGCAGCAATAAGATGGAAAAACAAAGAACTTGTACGAATCATGAGAATTTATTACGTTTTAAATTATGTTTGTGTCATAATTTTTTAAATAAAAATGAAATGATAGGTTTTGCATATATATATATCTGTGTGGAAAATTATATTTTTGATAAAAAATACTTATACATTTTTTAAATAATTATTTTTCAGATCTTTGGCAGTAGGATCAAAGTCAGGATATAAACTTTATTCTATTAATTCTACTGGCCATCTTGAAAAAATATACGAAAATGGTAATAATTTGTTTTTCTATATTTTAACAATACAGTGTCATGAAAATGTTATGAATACTGCTTTATCGTTTGTTGAAAAGAAATTTCTTATGTTATTAATTGGTGTTTTTTTATTTCTTTTTTGAGATGATACAGAATTTGAGGATATATGTATTGTTGAGCGATTATTTAGCAGCAGTTTGGTGGCGATTGTTAGTCTCAAATCTCCTCGTACACTCACGGTGTGCCACTTTAGGAAAGGAACAGAAATATGCAACTACAGTTACTCAAATACAATTTTGGCTGTGAAACTCAACAGAGCGGTAAGTTATCACAATATATGTTTGCATTAGCAAACTAATATTACACATAATTGCATTTATATACAATAACACAAAAGGTAGTAACTTAAAACTAAGTTTATATGAATCTTTTGGTTCCTTGGATTCGATCTTTATGATCCATCTGTATTAGATTTTTCATATTTAAAAAGAACACTTTGTATATTTTAAAATACAATCTAATATAATATTTTGTTCTTAAACAAGTAAACTTTGATACTATATAAAGTAATGTGTTCAATGTTTTTTCATAATTATGCAAAAAATAATATCATTGGTTTCAGAGATTGGTGGTATGTCTGGAAGAATCGTTATACATTCATAATATACGAGATATGAAAGTGCTGCACACAATTCGTGATACTCCACCTAATCTTACAGGCCTTTGTACCCTTTCGCCAAATAGTGACAATTGTTATTTAGCTTATCCAGGCTCGAACACGATTGGAGAAGTGCAAATATTTGATGCAATTCATCTTGTATGTACTGAATTAAATCGGAATTAATGAGAAAACTTTGATGTATTAGAACTGGGCATTTACACAATTTTTTCATATGTGTGTAGCAAGCCAAAACAATGATACCCGCACATGATAGTCCATTGGCAGCAATCGCTTTTAGTTCGACTGGCACCAAAGTGGCAACAGCCTCTGAAAAGGGCACTGTGATTAGAGTTTTTGACGTAAGATAAATTTTAGATATAATTATATATAAAATGAGTACATTATTACTTTATTAATAACTTGATAATTAATAACAATTGCTTATACTTTTACAGGTTCATGAAGGTACAAAGTTATTCGAATTTCGACGCGGAGTTAAAAGATGCGTCACAATAAACAGTCTTTCCTTTAGTATGGATTCTATGTGGCTCTGTTGTTCTAGTAATACAGAAACTGTGCATATATTCAAATTGGAGGAACCAAAGGAAACGTAGGTATCATTGATCTAGTGTGTCTATCGCTTTTGCGATATGAAAACATCGTTTCGCATATAAATATAAAATTTAAAAATGTCACTTGCGTTATCATAGGCCAAACAAACAAACTGCAGATGAAGCACAAAGCTGGATGGGATATTTGACGAAGGCTGTGACAGCGTCAGCTACGTATTTGCCGTCGCAAGTGACTGATGTTTTTACTCAAGGACGTGCTTTTGCCAGCGTCCATCTACCGTTTCAAGGATTGAAAAATGTCTGTGCCATCACTGTGTAAGTATTTGAAAATTTATTTATTTTAAATTTGTATATATTGTACATACATTGTATATATTGTATATTAAATCCGTTATATACATTATTATACTATTATATACTTATTCCATTTATATTTCAGAACACACAAAGTACCAAAACTGTTAGTAGCTAGCGCCGATGGTTATTTGTATGTCTATTCCGTGGATTTATCGGAAAGTGGATGTTGCGCCCTTATAAAACAGCATAGGTTCGTAATATTCATTTCATTAAAATCGACTTTTATAAGTGATCGTAATTTATCAATAACATTACACTGTTGAAAGTTTGCAAATTGTATAAAAATTTAAAAATAACTTTTAATTTCTAAAATTATGTATTTTAAAGAAAACGTTTTTTTCAATCTAATATAAAAATTAATATAACATATTACTTCATTTTTATGTTACACGTAATGATTACTTAATGATACATAATGATTACCTTATAAAGTTTCACTAATAATAGCACTAAATTAAAACATGTATATATATTAAATAATAATAATAATTTGTGTTTTCAGTATTTAAATAAGGAATATTAATATAATTGATATATGTATGGATGAATTAAAATAAAGATATCTTATTCACATTTTTCACAGATTAGATGATAAGGATCGAGATGAATCGGACTGTGGCGGTTCCGGTTCTGGAGCAGCAGCTACCGCAAATAGTACAAATACAGGTATGAAGAGACACTATTGGACTGTTAGTTTTAGAGTAGATTAATTGAAGCGAGTTGACGATAAAGATACATTACCGACAGTTATTTTGACGAAAAGATTACATAATGCAAAATTTTTCTTTCTCGTATATCCAGTATAAAACGCTTGAATGTGTATAAAATTTCTTTTGTCTATCTTATTTAAAGTTGCAATTTTGTGATAAGTTTTGCAATTATTCAAGCACTAACAGAGTATATTAAGTATCTTCTTTTTCTGTTCAAGGCATGTCACACATACATAACACACACACATACAGTTGGTACTGGCAGATATATGAATATTTGACGCAATAAAAAATATATCTAAACATATACACAATACATTTGATTAAATATAAATTTAAAAATAAAAATATCGTTTCTTTCATTTTAGATAGCAATTGAAAATAATCTGTTGATGGCAAAAATTCAATAAAAATGTGTATATCTCTGCACTTTCTTTTTTAAATAATATTTAATTTAAAAACAAAAGTAGTATATATATATAAGAATCAAATAACATAATATGAAATATTACTATTAGTGTAAATAGTTTTAGAAAAACTGTTCTCATTACTTATGTTTTATCGCGTATAATATTATATAGACAAATTGCTATTTAAATGTATTTATCTAGATAGTTCCAGCTCTGTAGCATCTTTATCAAAAATGATTCGGTAGTAGTAAAACGCTTATATATCGTTAGCTATGTACCATGTGTGTATATGTGTGTGCGTATGTATGATTGTGCTCGAACTACGCCTTTACTTTTTTATAATTTGCTTTATCTTCTTTTTTCTCGCTTCTAGCCCCTTTATAAATGAAATAAGTCCTGAACTTCTTGAGGGGCTCAGGGGAAGGGGGTGGGGTGGGGGGGGGTACCCCGATAGTCGACCTTACTTGATGTAATTTTTTTCTTTTTAATATCCACCGAAGCCTGCATAAATAGCTACGCGGGTGTGTTGCGTGGCCGTTCGCCAGACTCCATGTCAGGTACTGGTATGTCCTCTATTCTGTCCCTCGATTTTTTTTCGCTCTCATTCTCCGTACACGAGAGAGATACTTAATTCTCCTCTAGAGCTTTTCTTTTTTTCTATACACACACACACACACACATACACACGCACGCTTCACTAGCTACGTTCGCGCATTTATTGTATACATACACGCAGCTAAAGGAAAAATGAGAGCAAACGCTAAGTAATGTGCCTTTTCACGCGGTCTTAATATAAAAAACTTATATTATTGTCGCATCATAACGATAGTACAAATCTATTACGCTTATTAACTCTACAGACTGATAAGATTCTTAAGAAAAAATTGTGTATATTTATATATTATCACATCTGTGCACAAGATATGCATGTAGGCACATTTTAGTCATATTCTTGGGGTAAACCACTATGCACGTATGCAAATTGTTTTACTAGTCAGCAAATATATAACACAATTTTGTTGCATCAGTATATTATTAGAAAAGATCTTGAGAATTTCTATAAGAAGTAGTTTATTTCTAGAAGAGAGACTACCTTAGATAGACATACCTATTATAATAATATTAACAATTATATGTAACAGTTACTAATATATGATCACTAAAAGACTGTATAGTTCATATGTATACATATGATATTAGTGTTCTTCATTATGTGGCAGCAGGTAAAAGTGATGTATATATATTTCTAAGAACAAACTTACACTTACACCAAAGAGTACATGTATGACGTATTTCTGTTAATGGTATTGTATATATATGTTAAGTTCAGTTCTTAATTATGGGATATAGGATCATAAGAAGAAGGTAGAGAATATCTCTTTTCTCTTCTTTTCTTGTATATCAATATCATGAAATTTGATACAGGTTTTAAAAAATGTAATAAATTAAAAATTTTTTTTTTTTTAAATTGAATATAATCAGTTTGAAAAGAGGATCATAGAAAATAACAATATAATTTTACTATTTAAATCTTTTTGATCTTGTAAATATTGCTTTATATTTTTTATACTTTTATATTTAATGTTGAATATACAAGAAAACATTCACATCGTCGCGAGTACGCGCGAGTAAAAAACTTTAGTAAAACATAAAGTGATATGTACATACTATTGAATTTGTAGAACAATATAACTGATAAATCATATGTAATTTATTAATTTTTAAAAAGTTTACTTTATCACATACAACAATAATGTATATAAAAAAATTAAACGCCTGTGTTTCTTATATTTTTTATTCTTTTTTAATTTTTTTTAAATTTAATTTAAAAAATCATTACTTCATATCATTAAAGAGATCATTAGTGAATGTGTACTTCACGACAATGTGACGTAGACAATGGTCGATGAAATATTTGCTATTTGCACTCAGATAGAAATATACCCTTGGAATATTCTAATTCATAGAAGGCTTGTATTTAACATTATATATTTTAGTATATATATTTATATATATTTTAATATATATATATTTTTTTTTATATTTTAATTTTTACTATATTTTGAAAACTGAATTTACTTATACCAAGAAGAAGATAAATCAGTCGGGAAATAAATATCTGAATGCATAAAATATATCATATATCATTGAGCGTTAATCGTCTGTATACATCTTTATCGTTATATCCGCTCCGAGATAATATGATGAAAAAATTATATAATTTGAAAATAAATGGATTTGTAGAATCTGAGAAGTATCAGGAGATGATAGCGGCGACGGAAAGTCCACCGAAAGGCGGCGGCCCGTTTCGTTTGGACGACGATACCGAATTTCCACCTGTCACGCAAAGGACAGACTGAGCGTAACACACACACACGTACATACGCAATTAAGGCATATCAAAAGCTCAAGACAAGCGAAGATATGAAAAAACCGTGTAAGAGAAACGATCGTGACGAGCAGGACAAAAGGAGGGCACAGAATGCAGAGGACGGTCCAGTATTTACACAGACGGCCGTATATCCAGTACTTCAAGTTCGGTAGAACTAAATCTGTAGGCGATATTACCGAGAATGTTATATATTTAGTACGCATTCGAGAATTTAAATAAGATGCATATTAGTCGCTAAGACGCGAATATGGAAAAAAATTTTTTCATATAATAGAAAAATCGATGCGTGCTTCAGGAAAAAAAGGGAAATGCCTTTGATGTAACATTCTCGGTCATATTACTGAACTATCGGATATAAGCAAAATTTCTTTCATCGTTCGTTAAACAAGTATGGTATTTGCCTGAACGAATGGAATATCATGCGAAGAATATGGTAATCCAATGATAATTATTTTAAAGCGTTTGTCATATAGGAATTACGGGTCGAAAAATCTTTTATACAAAAATGTATACACAAAAGAAGAGATTCACATTTGTATGTCAGTAAAGCTATTTTTACGATTCTATATAGAGAAATATTTATACAGAAAATATGCGTTTTTACGTAGCCTAAGAACAGTATACTCCAATTTCGGAATTCTACTCCGACGCACAATTCAGCGATAAACAATTGTGAAATCATGAATTAGCATAAATTGTTTTTGCATTCATTTTAACAAGTGCCATATTAACTGTGTTAAACGGATTGAAAAATAAAACGACCTATGTAGATCAACATATGAAAATATTATCTATCGAAATAATTGCCATAACGTAAGTGAATATGCCCTATTTAAAGAACTTGACTTTTTTTATAAATTTATAATAATATTAACATGTCGACAAGTTAAATTTATTCCAATTTCTGACGTATTTATTCATGATGAAATATCAGAAAAAATTTGACTCTGTTCATCATATTTATACAAATTGTATGATCCATGATACACAAAAAATGTAAGCAAATCAAATATGTCGTCTTTGTTTTTTGTGTACCATGGACATATCTAAAAATCAGTAGAAATTGATTTTCTACTTTTTATTCTATCACACGAAAATCACACAAAATGATTGAATAAATTTTCGCTAATTTTAGAATATGTTCAAGCATTAAACACAATTTATTTTGCACGTTTCATTGGATTACTATATTTTTTAATAACAGAATCATTGTCTTCTGTGTTCAACAAAGAAAGCTCACCTTCTTTCTAGATAAAAATGTAAAGATTATAAATATGGAAAATGAACGATGAACTTTAGTTAATTCTTGTATAAAATGTAAAAGACATTTCTCGACATATGTTAGCTTCTTATAAAATAAATAATCAGTTATAATTTTACCGAAAATAATTTTCTTTGTTGGCATTTAAAGTTCAAAAGTACTTCAATTTTTACATGTTAATTGTGAGATAATGATAAACAGATGAAGTATTTAAAAGTGTAAAAAAGGTTCATTCCAGTTTGTTTCTTTAAAATCCGAAATAATTTTAGACAAGTTATCATATCAACAAGATAATTTCTGATAACTACGATATATTGAATTTTAAAATTCAATAAAAATTTTATATCTTATTATCAAACATTACCATGCTGTATCTTATGCTTTATATTAGACAGATGTTATGTATATGTAATGTATCAAATGTGCAATAAGTCTCCTTGAGCGCTTTTTCGGATTATTGAAAATTATCATGACATGTTTGTAATTTGTATAAATAGCTAACTAATAGGGACAAAGAGAATAATCTTCGATACACTTGTGTTTTACGTTAGTACCGACTCGAGCTTGATTGTGAATAAAGTTTCTCCTCCGATGCCAATTTATCAGAATGTAAGACGACACTGGCGCTGGCGAAGATATTTTATCGTTATATAATTAAGTAAAGTACAGATGCGTTTTTCCTTTCATAATTCTTCGTAGCGTCGTATTGCATGTAATTTATAATGTATATCTTATAATATCTCCGATTACAAATAGAAAGTTTCTTTCGCGTGTGAATTGAAGTATACGGCGCGATCGTGAGTATGTCAGTATCATAGATCCAATGATGTGTCATGTCGTTACGGCGGTTTTATACTAACGAGTTTTATTTGGTAAATAATCTTACTTTTATAAAGATATAAATAAACGCATTGGTTAATAACCAATTTGTACATATGAACGTGCTAAGGCTTAAGCTTTGAACGTCATTGCGTATAAAGTTTCTTATCAATACACGTGATTGTGCTGGTCTGCAAATGGAAAAAAAATACTGTGAGTTTCTCTCTCCTTGTCTACGATTGGTTCAGCATCCCACTTTTATTTGTATTTAATAAAATTGCTGACGATTTTTTATAAACCAATTATAATTTTCTCAAATTTGCGTTATCACAACTCTATTAATATGGAAACTTGTAATGATATCATTTCATTGAGAATCATATGTTGTAAAAGACAGATGAAATAATCATTTACAAGTTTCTAAATAAAAAAATTAATTTTTGTTTTTTATCCTGAAAATATTCTTGGCATTTCAGTTAAACATTCCTATGTGCAAAACCCGATATTTCGATGAAGAGATAAGTAGAGCAGAAATTTAAAATAATTAAAAATATAGTTAAATAAATATATATATTGTAAATACATAAACTTGAAGCTTTTTTTAGATAGTATAAAAACAAGAAGAAACTCGACTAATAAGAACCAAGCATAGAAAATAGAATATGAATAAGTTTTAATAAAAAATACTTTAATTTTAACAAATTAACCTTTCTTTTCGGACTATCCTCAGTAATTATTAACAAAATAAATCATACGCAGAAACATTATAAAAATGGACATTGAATACTTACGTCATTATAAAAATCGTGTGCTTTATGCAAGGAATTACATATACAGCAATTAACAAAATTAATAAATTAATTTAAGAGAGAAGCAAACAGATCCAAGATACCCATAAAAAATGTCCTAATGATCGTTGCCAAAATGATACGATTATTGATATATAAACAAATTTTAAGTAGATGCTACATGAGTATAGATAAAGAAGAGATGATATAAATAATTATTTTAAATCTTGGAACAGTTTTTTCTCCTTGGGAAAGAAACTTGTCGAAAATGATATACATTAAATGTAAAAAAAACTCAACTTTCAGAATGAAATGCTTAAATTACTACATATGTCGATCACTGAAACTTTTCGAAGATTTGAACCTTATTTACCTACATTATCTTTCCTTTGTTCCACCTATGTTTATGTTAACTGTATCATTTTAACAACGATCATTAGGACACTTGACTTTCTGTTTGCCTCTTTCTTAAATTTTGATAAATCTTTGTTTCGATTATTTTGTTATTGCATTTTCTTCACAAGCATATTATTTTTTTAAATTTACACACGATGGTATTTTTACAATATCTTACAGTTGCGCCCATAAAATTCCGTAACAGCTGTAACTATAATTAAAGAGATTTGTCTGATTTATTTTTCTATCGGAATCATTAGGATTGCATGGAGGTCGGAACACACGATTTTTTTAATATCACGTATATGCATTCAGTATTTGTTTTTATAACGTTTCTGCGTGTGTATGTATGTATGTGTGTGTGTGTGTATACACACACACGCACACACATATATATATATATATATATATATATATATATATATATATATATATATTATATATCGAAAAGGAAATCAAAATACTTATCTTGATAATTAAAGGATATTTTATAAATAATTATTTACGTTGTTTTCTGCACTTAACTCTCATTAGCTCGCGATTTCTCTCTTCTTGTTTTTTATATTATTTATTAGAACCTCTCTTTTTATTTTTGTTTTTAGATAGAATACCCGTTAAATCTACCAATTTTGTTTTAATGATATGTAAAAAAATTACTTTTTTTATGCACTGAATCTGAAGCATTATTCTCGTTAATGAAAATGATAAGATCATGAAATGCACCACGTATCAGTCGTTATCTAGAGAGAACAATTCTCTCTGATGACAATGTATTAATTATATATATATATATATATATATATATATATATATATATATATATATGTAAGTTACACCTTTTTAAATAATTCTATTGTTAAAACTTATGGTAAACAATATGTACGATCACGTAATTACGTAACACTATTAATAAACTCGCCGGTCTCATAAGAAAATTGAACATTTCTTTTTTTTTTATCTGAGTCGCGTATTTATAATAATCTCTATTTTTATCAGATATCTCAACGTTTATAAAACTGCGGTTATAATATGTGATCCGAATAATGAGATTCAGAAAGGCTTTTTGGTCACATCTGGATTAATTTTACTATTAAGGAATATTTGTAAAATCGTCAACATACATTATCATTAATTATGACAATTTTATCTCGATGGCATAAATTTTTATATTACTGCAATTTATGAATATGAACAACAAAATGTATTCTGAGTGAGTACAGTGATAATGCAGCAAAAGGGTCTATTCCTATTTAGCGAATAATATAGTAAAATACGTGATTGCTAATATAAAATTCTATAGCAAAATTGCAATAGATATATATGTTCCTATATATGTATGACATAAAATATTATTTCGTTATTTTATCTTCGTCTCATATAATTACCAATCAACGACATGATTATTATATTTCCGCTTCATCGTTGTCACCTTGATTAAGAAAAAAAGATAATTTGATGTATAACGCAATTCCGCTAAAAAGCAAAGTTTCGTTAAATAATGGCGCGAAAATAATTGTATGACAAAGTGGTTTCACATTCGGTATTTTATATCTGAATAATTCTCAGCTACATGGATTAGGATTAATGGAAATTAAACTGCAAGTCAATTCTTTTTCTTCAAATACAATTCATTAATTGTTGAAAGTCGTTTGATTTTTTAGATTTCTTTGCTTTACCATCATCACAGATAAACTAAGTTGAAGCATACATTCTAAAGTTCAAGAAGAACGTATGTATGTTTTAACTGAATTTATCGTTTGATTATAAATCGTATCTGAAAAGAAAGAATTGACTTACGCTTTGATTCCCGCGATTGGATCTCAATTCTCTTATACAAAATTTCTGTTATTTTATATTCGTTATATATTTACGTTCTTTATTTTTCAATTGTACCACTTAAAAACGATCCCTGTGCAAAATGTTATACGGTAACAAACAGGCCCTTTTGTCGTATGTTCACTGTAATGACATATAAGGAACCGAAAACTTAGCTATAGAGATCGTCATCCCCATCATCTTGAAAGGCTTGATCGCCTTGGGTGTTATCTTGAGCACCGCCTGCTCCACTTTGTGGAAATCTGCAAACATTTTTTTTGTTTTCTTTTTTTGTTAAATGATATAGAGCTTATATATACTAACACACTTCCCTACTGAGAACACATGTTTATGTATCATATCTGAAGTGATGTATGAAAAATAACATTCAAAAAGATAGAAGCTTTTTATTCCTTAATCTTAACAATTTATTAATCTTGTTAATTGTGGTACATGTGTTACTATAAATATGATTAATTGGCATGATTATTGTGCATAATTTTGTCGACAATTACAATTGCACATAATTACCACCAATACAAATTGTTAGCATGAGTTTCATCAAAATTATAGATAATATCATTTTATCGATAATCTTAATAATAAATAAAATAAATCCGATTTATAATTGTAAATCCGTATTATATTTATATATGATTATAATTACATAATATAAAATTTATTAAATTTATCAAAATTATTAATTATGATTATATAATATTATTGCCAAATTAATCAAATTTACATACATATGTATGCATATGGCAAATCAGAATTCAAAAGAAATTCTTACCTGAAATTTGTTCCGAATCCTCGGGATTGTTGAAGCGTTTGTGCAAACATCTCATATTTGCGAATGTCATTGTCGGATACTGAACGACGCGCAAACCTCATTGCTTCCTCAAAGTGAGCTCGCGTTATTTCTGGTACAGGATCATCCTCATCCATCTAGAATAAACGAGTAGTAGAAATCTTAGAGAAGTTAAAAATTAAAATGTATATATATATATATATATATGTATGCGCGCGCGCGCGCGCGTGTGTGTGTGTGTGTGTGTGTGTCAAGCGACGCGGTAGCGTCGCGACGCCAAAACATATATATATATATGTATATCTCGATAATTATTTTTATTTAAATTCAATTATTTTAATTTTTATATATAATTGCATATATATATTTTTTAATACTAAAGTTGTATAAAATGATTATTATATATCACAAAGGTAAACTTTTTCTTACAATTGAAAAATATTGTATAATTATATTTATAATTGTATTTATAATTCGTTATATATAATTATAATATAATTGTATAAATAATTCGCAAAAATAAAAGATGAATAAAAAAATCTGCTAGTAATATGAAGCAATGCATCAAGTGCTGATTCAGATATGAATTATACAGATGACACAGCAGAAATGAATCTTTGAAATAACGCGAATTAAAAATGTTTTAAAATGAAAAATCTTTTAAGATACTTACATCCATAGATGCAGATGGATTACTAGCGCGTTCTCTTTCCCTACGAATTTCAGTTTCAATGCACTGTCTAATGGCAAGCTTACATGCACGCTGGCAGATTTCTGTAAGATCAGCACCAGAGAACCCATGTGTGACTTTGGCTATATAGCTTAGATCTACGTCCTAAAAATAGAAAATATTTTTTTTTAAATAACAATTAAAAGTTATCGTAAAATTAACAGTATACAACAATAAACATACATTATATCAGATAAATATATATCAGATATATCGCTCCAAAATCGTTTGTATGTTTTATATAAACATATGCATAGTTTCACATTAAAATTATTTAATTTATATTTATTTAAATGTTTAATTATTACCTTAGCTACAGGTGATTTGCGGAGATTAGCGCGGAATATCGCTTCTCGGGACTTCTCGTCTGGTAGTGGTATGTAAATCAATTGATCTAATCTACCAGGTCGTAAAATTGCTGGATCGATGATATCAGGACGATTTGTCGCTCCTATAATAAATACATTCTTCTTCGCGCCCATACCGTCCATTTCTGTTAGTATTTGATTTATCACACGATCAGCCGCACCGCCAGCATCCCCGACAGTGCCTCCACGAGACTTGGCGATAGAATCAAGTTCGTCGAAAAACAGTACGCAAGGAGCAGCTGACCTTGCCTGAAATAATTTGTTGTAAAATAATTTATCTTAAATTATATTATAATTTTTTATATTTCTTAAAAAAATATATTAAAATATTTTTTTATATTTTTTTACTAAAAATAATTATTTTCAGGGGTAATATTGTCACTCTAGGCTCCCAAAAAGAACAGCCTATTTATGACCATTTTTTATGAGAATACAGTGAATGGAATATGAAATCTGTTTAAAAACTCTTATTGTACATATTTTGAAGTAAGTTTATTTTTCGACAGTCAATTTCTCTGTCAAAGTCAAATTTTTTCAATTTTTTTTGTACAAAATGGCGGCGCGAGAATTCAGCAAAAGAAGCCTCTTCTCACGGATAATGTTTCACGACCGAAAAGATTTCTCCTGCAATTTTTGACATAAAACAAAAAACCAAAAATTTTTTGAGTTTTA